AGTTCTTGCGCCGCTCATCCCGTTTTCGGCCGCCGCCATCGCGAGTCGTCGGCCGGCGAATCGTCGGCCAGCCAGCTTGTCGAGCCATTGCAGTCCCCTCGAATCACGAGCAACGTTAGGGGAGGATATCAGAGGAGCAAGGGGTTAATTATGATAGTGATATGCTCCAGGATTTTCGAGATTCCGATGAATTCCCGGATTCCCTGATGTTGTACAAGTGCTGTAGAAACGAGGGTTGATAGACTTTTCAGATTCTTGGAACGCATCTGAGCCAATCGCATCATGACATCATCTTGGCGTAGTGGGGATATACCGCCGATCCATCGGCGATGTGTCCCCCTGTTGTTGTCCCCCCTGTCGTGTCCCCCCCTGTCGTTGTCCCCCCCTGCCGTTGTCCCTTCCTTGCAGGAGTCGCCGGCGCAGTCCGGCCTGGCTGCCGGGCTCGCGGGGGGCCCGGCGGATCATTTCGAGCAGCCGCTGGCCTCCCAGGATTGTGTCTGCTTGTTTAGTCTAGTTTCCAACGGGGGGGGGGAAGGGTTGCACTCGAGGAGCGCCAGCCACGCGCAGAGGGGGTAAGGGGGAGGAGGGAAGGCTTATCAGAAGCACCCCTGCTTCTTAGAAGCCGTAGGCCTTGCCTGTGGATGTAAGGCTGGCGCCTTCTACGAAGCAGGCTCCTTCTGAGAAGCCTCCCCCCCTCCCCACACCCCTCTGTGCGCGCTGCCAAGAACGGGCAGCGAGCTTCGAGGATTGAAGCTCCGATCGGTTCCTTCGCTTCTTATGGGGGCCTCTGGGCGACTGCCCGTCGACTCGGGGTACACGCCGAGCAGCCGCCGGCGTCCAAGGATTCCGTCTGTTTTCCACCCGACAGACCCTGGCCCTCCTTCCTCCACGTCGTCAGATGGTCATTTCTTGAACACATTCATGTGAGTATTCTAGAGCTTTTATTGACATCCATGAATTATTTTGGGTTTTGTGTGGTTAGTTTCAACGACGACGACGAAGAACACGACGAGGAGGACGAGGAAGAGGAGGAGGAGAAGGATGAGGAGGAGGAGGGCGACGACGAAGGTAAGGAGCTCCCGACCCGTCTCGCACACGCTGCACACCACGGCCGCCAGGCCTGGGGAAGGTGCCAGTACTCCCTCGGGGATCTCCCGCCGCGAGGCGTCCGCCAGGCCAGGAGGTGCACCGGCTCTCCGGGTGGATCCCGCCTCGCGTTCTCGCGCAGGGATCGCTCGGAGCCAGGTAGAGCAATCTTTTTGTTGGGGGTGGAGCGGCGAATTTCGGTAGCAAATCGCGGGAGCCTGGTGTACCCTCTCAAATTTGTCTTTAGCGTCGATTAGCGTCTGGGAGTCCATGAAATGGCGTCGATTCAGCGGCGGGTAGCGTCGATTCAGCGTCGATTCGCGTCGATTCAGCCTCGACCAGCGTCGATTCGCAAGAGCCGACCAGATGATATGGGACTTTCCCATGAGTTGCCACCGAAGGGGACAGCAGAGGCCACGGGTCCTGGCCCCTGAGTTTCGCCTGGGCCTGCTGGCAACGGCGGTGGGCCCGCAGGGAAGCGAGATGGGACGTCCAGGGAGGGAAGGGGCGGGGAGGGGGGAGGGGGACCCGATGGGACCAGACAGCGGATGTGTCGCCGCGCCGTTTGCTCCGGCGCGCGGCCTTCAGTCCTGGGGAGGGCGCCTCGGCCACCAGGCCAGGCGCCGCCTCGGACCCGGTTCTGGCCCGTCGTTCCTGCCGTGGGAGGTACCTCGGGGCGCCGCGACGCGCTCCCGTTTCGCTCGGGAGGGAGCTCTATCCTTGTCTTGTATTGCCTTTTCCTCGAGAGAGAGAGAGAGAGGTAGGTTTTCCTCGGAGGAGATTTCGCGGTTTTCCTCGATTTGGGTTTTTCCTCGGTTTGGCTTTTTCCTCGGTTTGGGGGAGGTCTCTCCTCCCGCGGTGCCAGCGTTGTCTCTTTGGGCGCGGGGCGCAGGGTTTGCCGTGGGTCTGCCGTGGTGTCGGCGTCGTCCAGTTGGGCGCGTCGAGTACCAGCAGCGCGGCCGGCGTGTGCTGATTTCTTCCGTGCAGGCTCCCCCGAAGTCTCAACCCGTACCCCAAGGCCGAATGTTCATCCTCAGTCGTTTTCGACAGTCCCGGGCCCGCAGACTCAGAAAATTATCAAGAGCATGTTCCGTCGTGCTTTTTTTGCCACGGTGCGAGGGTGTCAGGGAGGGGGGAGCGGGGGAAGGTGGGCTGGCAAAAGGAAAGTTATCCCGGCAAAGCAACCTAACAGCGATGTCTAGAAACATATCTGGAAACATTCCCCTTAAGATCAAGATGAGAATCCAGTTGTAGAATTCTCCTGTTCTCGCAGTCGCAGTCGCATTCGCGATGACAGTCGCAGCGGCAACGGCAGTCACAGTCACAGCCTCAGCCTCGGCCTGCCTCAGCATTAGCCTGCCTCAGTTTCAGCCTCAGCCTGCCTCGGCCTCATCCTCAGCCAGCTTCAGCCTCAGCCTCAGTCTGCCTTCAGCCTCGGCCTCAGCCTCAGCCTGCCTCAGCCTCAGCCTGCATCAGCCTCAGCCTCAGCCTCAGCCTGCCTCAGCCTCAGCCTGCTGCGCTCCCGCATACTCCTGCGGCCTCAGCCTGCCTCGGCCCCAGCCTGCATCAGCCTCAGCCTCAGCCTCAGCCTGCCTCAGCCTCAGCCTGCTGCGCTCCCGCATACTCCTGCGGCCTCAGCCTGCCTCAGCCTCAGCCTGCATCAGCCTCAGCCTCAGCCTCAGCCTGCCTCAGCCTCAGCCTGCTGCGCTCCCGCATACTCCTGCGGCCTCAGCCTGCCTCGGCCCCAGCCTGCATCAGCCTCAGCCTCAGCCTCAGCCTGCCTCAGCCTCAGCCTGCTGCGCTCCCGCATACTCCCGCGGCGTCAGCCTGCCTCAGCCTCAGCCTGCATCAGCCTCAGCCTCAGCGTCAGCCTGCCTCAGCCTCAGCCTGCTGCGCTCCCGCATACTCCTGCGGCCTCAGCCTGCCTCGGCCCCAGCCTGCATCAGCCTCAGCCTCAGCCTCAGCCTGCCTCAGCCTCAGCCTGCTGCGCTCTCGCATACTCCCACGGCCTCAGCCTGCCTCAGCCTCAGCCTGCATCAGCCTCAGCCTCAGCCTCAGCCTTCAGCCTCAGCCTCAGCCTGCCTCAGCCTCAGCCTCAGCCTGCCTTCAGCCTCGGCCTCAGCCTCAGCCTGCCTCAGCCTGCCTCAGCCTCAGCCTCAGCCTCAGCCTGCCTGAGCATCAGCCGGCTTCAGCGTCTGCCTGCCTTCAGCCTCGGCCTCAGCTTCAGCCTGCCTCAGCCTGCCTCAGCCTCAGCCTCAGCCTCAGCCTCAGCCTGCCTGAGCATCAGCCGGCTTCAGCGTCTGCCTCAGCCTGCCTCAGCGTCAGCCTCAGCCCCAGCGCCTCAGCCTCCGGGCATCCAAAATGTGGCCCGGGAGTGAGTGGAGTTCTGGGAACTCGAAGACCACGAAGTGGCCTACAGTTGGCTCCAGGCACCCAAAATGTGGCCCGGGAATGGAGTTCTGGGAACTCGAAGAGCACGAAGTGGCCTACAGTTGGCTCCAGGCATCCAAAATGTGGCCCGGGAATGGAGTTCTGGGAACTCGAAGACACGAAGTGGCCTACAGTTGGCTCCGGGCATCCAAAATGTGGCCCGGGAATGGAGTTCTGGGAACTCGAAGACCACGAAGTGGCCTACAGTTGGCTCCGGGCATCCAAAATGTACCCGGGAATGGAGTTCTGGGAACTCGAAGACCACGAAGTGGCCTACAGTTGGCTCCGGGCATCCAAAATGTGTACGCCGGGAATGAAGTTCTAGCAGCGCCAAGAGCGATTTTGCGAGGATGTCCCAAGCGATTTGGGCTTCGACGGCAGCCGCCCCGCGGGTCCCGCCCGGCCCCCCCTGTGGAGTCATCTGCTGCTCTCTTTTGACACCACTAGAAACCTATCAGTCTTCGCTGTTAGGTAAAAGGAAATAATTGTACGGGCATCGCCCAACCATATTTATCCTTTGTGTGTGTGAGCCAGCCCCACATGGGGTGACGCCCGCGCTCAGAAATCGTATAGTTTTTTTTTTGTCCGCGGTTGTCCCCTCGCACCTTCTGCTAAGTTTTCTGTGTCTTCGGGGAAAAGGCTTCGAACATTTCTCAGGCGGCCGTGGGACTTCCGAGCCTTCTAAGAAGGCCCGCCCCCTCTCGCTCCCCCCCCAGGCTCGCCGTCGAAAACAGGCCGAAGGTCCGAAGTTGGGATCCACACAGATCCACCGCCTGGGGGGATTTGTTTGATTTATCCTCGGGCTATCGTCAGAACAATGACTCCTGCACGTAGCCGACGCGCGACGGAAGGGCCCGAGAGGCCGAAAGAAAGCGAAGGACGGCCCCAGGAACCACAGATAAACGAGCATAGGGAAACGACCGAAAAGAAGGGGCCACGAAACAGCGAGGGCCCGAAAGCTACACAGTGATGCTGGGAAAGCCTGGAGGGGATTTGATTGCCCCAGTCCTGGCTTATCGGAGGTCTTTACCTCACCTCCCCTCAGGCATCCACTTACACTATTCAAACCCTCATCCCAGACGGCAGCAGAGCTCTTTTTCTCTTTGCGAGCCTGGGCACGGGACAAAGGCAAATCAGAGCTGCATGAGGTGTCCCAAGCGTAAGCAGTACGGGTGCTTGCTTCCATTGCGCCTCATTGCTTGGGAATCCTCGCAGTCAGACAGCCTCCAGGACGGGAGAACAGATAAAGATGTCGCCCCATAGAGGGAGCGGCAGAGATCATCCCAGGCCAGCAAACAACGAGAGAGAAGCTAGCCTGGCCTCTTCTCTCTTGGCGAGCCTGGGCAAAGTACAACACAAATAGGCAAAGGCAAGGTACGGGTGCGTATTTCCATTGCGCCTCAATGCTTGTGAAATCCTTGCGGTCAGGCAGCCTCTATGGGCTGGATGCATTGACTGAAAGAGACGCCCCTCGGCCCGCAGCAATGAGAGAAGCAGGTTGCCTCTTCGTCGCTTGGCGAGCCTGGGCAAGGGAAACTATAAACACATAGTAAACAATGAGAGTCTTACACAATATACACTTCGCGGGTGCTGGTATCCACGAGACTCCCCGCATCACGAAAGATAAGCACACAAGATATCCCACCCCCTCCATGCCAACCTCCACGTTAGTCATCGGGCTGCAGCAGCGGCTGTAGCAGCCATTCTGGGTCGAGAAGGGCCTGGAAATTAAAAACATCATGGGGCTTGGGGAAAGCATACATGACGCTGGCACAATCAACTGCACACACATCTCTGATCTGAGGCGGTGGATCTGGAGATTCGGGCCCCCGTGGGGCCCCACCCCCAGGGGTCCTGGGGGGGCGTCGGCTCCCCAGGATGTGGGTGGGTTTCCAGTCTGGGCCTCGCAGGAGGGGCGGGGCGAGGCGAAACGGGGGAGGGTGCCGACGGATCGGGCTGCGGGCGGGGCTGCAGCCGACTTGGCGACTCGAAGCGCATGGCGCATGGCCCCAGCGAGAAGCGGAATCGGGCAGCGAAGCGCGACTGAAGGCCCGCGACAGCCGGCGTGCGTCCGGTCGACATTGCAGCGCCTCGGCGTCGTGTTGTTGACCCCGATCGGTTACTTCTCCATCGTCTTGTTCGTGCAAATGCCTGCGGCTGATTTCGACACTGTGCCACTTGCCAGGAGGCTCGATAGGGGGCGGGTGGGAGGGCAATGCACGCGAGAGGGCGTGATGAGAGAGGGGAGCCGAGCGAGGCAGCCCTTCCAGTAGGCACATTCAATCAGAAGTCGGCCTGTCAGCAGGTGCCCCGCACAACTGTTTATTGCCAATGCGACCACCTTTCGGGTGATAAGGCGGTTGTGTGGGAAGACGGAACCAACGTCTTACCCAATTGATCTCACCACCGATCTCATTATCGATACCACTGCTGCTTTCACCATCGATCTCACTGTCGATCTCAGTCTACCGATCTAGCTCTATCGATCTCATTCGACCTGTCTCACTCTATCGATCGCACCCACGGGACAACAACGGGACATCGACAAGACACCCACGGCGGGTCACGAACGGGACACCGACAGGACCTTGACGGTACACGGACGGGACACCGACGGGACATATATGGGACACCGACGGAACACCACCGCGGGACACCACGCGACATCGACAGGACACCGACAGGACACCAACGGGACACCGACGCGGCACCGACGGGACACCGACGGGACACCGACGGGACGCCGACGGGACAGCAATGGGACACCGACGGGACGCCGACTGGACATTGACAGGACATCGACGGGACACCGACGGGACACCACGGCGGGACATCCCCGGCCAGGCCAGCCCATTGGAGGGCCAGTCTTTTGTCTTGACCCGTCCTAGGCACAGCGGGTTTATTCTTCTCGCCCGATCACGCTTCTTCGCCTCGCCCGCACGCGCGGAAGAGCCCGACGCCGAAACCGATTTCTTTGTGGGGCGCTCTCCGTTCCACCTCGATCTGACACCCAGCCTCCGACTGGTTAGCTGTATAAGACGTGGGGCCGCCCATTGAAGACTTACAGGAGCCCTTCCAGACTGCGCCTGGCATTTACAACTCGCCCGCACAGGGCAGGTACGGTGGCGGGTTTTTAGTGATGCCGCGCAGACCTGCCGACCCACGCTGGCTTCGGCCCTCCAAAAATCGGTGGCCTGAGTGATTCCCGGGCTTACGCCGCACCGCCGACCGCTTGGGGGTGTAGTAGATGCCGTCCAGTGGGGGCCTCGTGTCAGCCTTGTGGGGGTTCTGGTGGGATCTCCTGTGGTCTTCTTGGGGCCGAGGGCTCGGAGTGTCCGATCGGGTCCTTTGGCTGGTTTTCTTTTGGAGTTGGTCTTGGGCGCCTCTGTGGGCGCCGTGGAGGAGGTCGTAGCTACCGTCGTGGGGCCGTCGTGGGTGCCTTGCGGGTCCTCTACGAGCGTCGGGAAGTTCAAAGCGCGAGATTTCCCCCAAACCGCGCACAATGCCCACATAGCCCCAGTTTTGTCGTTGGTCGGGGAGAGCAGGGGGTATATATCCAGAAGGAATACTGACACAGGTCAGAGCGACAACGCCGCAGTCGGTCTCCTTCATTCGCACCCGATCTCCCATCGTTCATCCTAAGAATGAATTCATACCATCCCAGCTCAACCGGTGGGTGAATCACGCTTGTATGTATATCGAAGATGCCTACGCCGAATCACCGCCGCCCCCTGTCCTTGTGGAAGCGCCTATGTGTCCGACAGCTGGGCTAGGGCTTGGCCAAGCTATCGGACCTTGTGTTCCCCGAGTCAGTTTGGAAAGGTTTCGGGGAACGCGGGGGGGTGGAAGGGGAGGAGGAGGAGGAGGAGGAGAAGGAGGAAAAATGAGAGGGGGGAGAATGCCTCTTCGGAGCCTCTTGAGGCACTCTTGGGCTCGATTGGAGCATCTTGGGACAGTCTTGGAGGCCATGTTGGGGCTATCTTGGGCTCTCTTGGGGCCTGTTGAGGGCCTCTTGGGGGCCTTTTGGGGCTTCTCGGGGGATTCTTTGGCCGTCTTATGGCGTTCCTGGCCTGTCTGACGCCGTCGGGAGCCGTCTTGGGGGCCTCTCAGAACCGACTGGGGGCCCTCTTGGGGCGCTTCGGGTCGGTCTTGTAGGCCAGCTTGGGCGTCTTGGAGGCCTCTTGGGCCGTCTTGGGGTCCTCTTGGGGCCTTCTTGGGGGCTTCTTGGGCCGTCATGGGGCCATCTTGGAGGTCTCGTGGGCGATTTCTTGGGGACCTCTTGGGCCGTCTCGAAAGGCCGAAAAGAAGCAAATGCCAACATCCTTCAAAAACCTAAAGATAACCAATGATGTTGGCCTCTCCGGGCCATCCTTCAGGACCTCTTGGAGGCGTATTGGGGGGCTCTTGGGGGCCTCTTGGGCCGTCTTGAACCATCTTGCGGCTATCTTAGGCCGTCCTGGAAGCACCTTGGGCCATCTTGGAGGCATCTTGGGTCCATCTGAGCCGGCTTGGAGGCCATGTTGGCCGTCTTCGAGGCGTCTTGGAGGCCATTTTGGGCCGATTGGGCAATTTGGAAGATCTTTCCGGGTGGCCGGCGGGACGGGCCGAAGCCCCAGGGGGAGTTTTTTTGGAAAAAGAACTCAAACCAAAACCGAGAGGGGTTAGCACGCCAGGCACTTTTGCGATGAATCGACAGTGGGCGGCGGATCGAAGACGCCTACGGCGAATCACCGCCGCCCCCTGCCTTTCGGGAAACGCCTATGATGATGATGATGATGATGAGGCCCGTCGGTGCGCCCCCGCGGCCGTCAGGGGGCCTCGCGGGCGCCGCGCCTCGCCCAGCGAAGCGGCACCTCTCGAGGCCTGTGCGGTTTTGGCAGGCGGTGTCGGCCTGCGGGTCTCGCCGCGGCGATCGCCGGGCCTCAGCGTGGTGGCCGAACGTTGTGGCCAGAGGCCTGCCAAGCTATCGGACCATGTGTTCCCCGAATCGGTTTGGAAAGCGTTCGGGGAACACGGTGGGGGAGGAGAAAGGAGAGGAGAGGGAGGAAGCAGGAGAAGGGAGGAGGAGGCATCATTGAAGCCTCTTGGGCTACTCTAGGGTTTTATTGAATCGCTTCGCTCATTCCGCCGGCCCGTGATATGGCATCGCTGGTTTTTGTCTGTGTGTTCGTTGCCCATGTTGCGCTCTTGGGGGCGGGTGTCGTTCGGACGCGTTGCGTGGGGAGTTTTGATGGTGAAGCAGTTCCCTGGGGGTCGTCTCTCGATGGGGCGAAATAGAGTCGTCGTCAAGATGCTTCTTTGGGGGGCCTCTTGGGGTCTGTTGAGAGGCCGTTCGGGGGCGCCTGGGAGACATGTTTGAAGCCTTCTGGGGCTTCTTTTGGGCCTCCTGGGAGTCTCCTGGGGCCTCTTGGCGACATCTTGGGGCCTCTTGGAGGCCTCTTGGGGCCTCTTTGGGACCTCCTGGGCGCCTTCTGGGACGGAGGGCTCCATTTTTGAGTTCTCGGTATCCCTCCTGAGTCCCTCTTGGGCCCGTCTTGGGGCCTCTTGGTCCGTCTTGGGCGGCACTTGGGCCGTCTTGAGGGCTCTCTTGGGTCGTTTCGGCGCCGTCTTGGGAGCTTCGTGGGCCGTCTTGGAGCGGTCTTGGGGGCCTCTTGGGCCGTCTTGGAGCGTCCGGAAGCCGAAAAAGCCAGAACACAAAAAACATAGAAAAAACCAATGAAAATCAACGATTTTGGCCTCTTGGGGCTCTCTTCGGAGGCCTCTTGGAAGGCTCTTGGGGCGTCTTGGAGGCCTCTTGGGCTGTCTTGGGGGCCTTTTGGGCCGTCTTGGGGTCATCTTCGGCGTCTTCGAGCGCTCTTTGGGCGTCTCGGGGGCCTCTTGGGCAGTCTTGGGGGCCTCTTGGGGCACTCTGAGCGCGCTCTGGGGAGCCTGAGAGGCCGCACCCAGAAGGAAAACCATCTCTGAGTAGACTTGGTCGGGCGGCGGTCGGGCGGCGACCGGGCGGCGACCGGGCGTTGGTCGGGGCACTTTTCGCCGGGGGACCCCCAGGGGCCGCCACAAAAAACATCGAAAAAAACCAATGAAAATCAACGATTTTGGCCTCTTGGGGCTCTCTTCGGAGGCCTCTTGGAAGGCTCTTGGGGCGTCTTGGAGGCCTCTTGCGCTGTCTTGGGGGCCTTTTGGGCCGTCTTGGGGTCATCCTCGGCGTCTTCGAGCGCTCTTTGGGCGTCTCGGGGGCCTCTTGGGCAGTCTTGGGGGCCTCTTGGGGCACTCTGAGCGCGCTCTGGGGAGCCTGAGAGGCCGCACCCAGAAGGAAAACCATCTCTGAGTAGACTTGGTCGGGCGGCGGTCGGGCGGCGACCGGGCGGCGCGGGCGGCGACCGGGCGTTGGTCGGGGTACTTTTCGCCGGGGGACCCCCAGGGGCCGCCCCGCGCGCGCGAACTAGAAATACTGTTAATACTGTTAACCAGTTACCGGAGATCTTAGCACGCCCTGGCCCGTTGGGGCGGAGCTACTCTAGGGTTTTATTGGGCCGTCTTTGCGGTCTTGGAATCATCTTGGGACTGTCTTGGAAGCCATTTTGGGGCTATATTGGGGCTTCTTGGGGCCATCTTGATCATCTCGGACGCATCTTGGAGGCCATCGTCGGCCACGTTGGCCGTCTTTGAGGTGTCTTGGGACCGTCTTGGAGGCCATCTTGTCCGTCTTGGAGGGATCGTTCGCGGACTTTGAGGTCGCGCCGCTCATTGCTGCCGCCAGCCACAGGCGGGCTGACTAGGTGGAGCCTGATGCTGTTCCCGAGCAGCACCAGCGCGACGCGAAGCAAGACGGGCGAGGCCGACGTCGCGGCGGTGATGGATTCACCGCGGATGGCCTGGCTCTCCCACGTCTTCAGTCACCTCAGCAAGGGGCCCAGGGACGAGCGCTTGTTTCCCTGGTACTACAGCGAGTTCTACCAGATGCCAGTGCAGGCCGCGGCGGCGCTGGACTTCAAGATGGCACCCTATCAGGGCCGACCCAGCGGCATCTCCATCGATCAAGCTCATCGCGAGAGGAGTAGACGAGTGCATGAAGCGGAGCCGCTGGACGGCGGCCAAGAGCGTGGCCAGGCGCGAGAAGGCGGGCCGGTTGAACGACGCCTGGAGGGAGCTGATGGCCGCCCAGCAGGCGCGCGCTTTCGACTGCGAGCGCCAATTCGAGGAGTGCCTCGCGCGCGTGCGCCGGCTGCTGGCCCCAGCGATGCGGCCGTGACGCCCTTCTTCGCCGAGCTGTTCAGCGGCGCAGGGCGGGCGGCGGCTGCTGCGTGACGTGCCGGCGATGCGCGCGAGAGTGGGACGTGAAGGCAGGCCCCGTCGGAGTCTTCCTGAGACCCCTTGTAGAGGCGGAGTTGCGACAGAGCATGCGGAGCGGACAGGCCTTAAGCAACATGATGGCCCCGCCCTGCACCTCCTTCTCTATAGTACAAAACGTGAATGTACCTTGAGGAGTAAGCAGTTCCCTAGAGGCCTCCCAGGTTTGCCCGACATCCAGCGCGGCAAGGTGCGATTGGGGAACGCCTGTTTAGATTTCTGCCTCCGCACAGTTCGGATGTGTCTGAGAATGCGCATCCCGTTCTGCCCCGAGCATCGCCGCAGCAGTTACAGATGGCATGATCCAGTTTTGTACTCGGTTCTCGAGCAAGCCGCCTGCCGCACTGTAGCCGTGAATTACTATGTTTTCGGGACGCCCCACCGTGAGGCCACCAGACTTGTCTTCGGAGGGGCTGACCTCGACCTGGGCCTTTTGGGCCGTCCAAGGGCTGTTGTCTGCGCGGGGCGCCGCGGCTACTGCTCTTTCTCGGGTACGAAGCATATAATTTGAGAAGGTCGGAGGGCGCGCGAAGCCGCGGCGTGCCCTCCAAAGCTGGCTCGCAGTCTCGCGCGGGCGCTGTTGTCACCGACTTGGACCGACAGGCATTCGATCTAATTCGCCTTCGCCTTTTTGTCGTAGTGCGCGTGTTTTTCGGCTACCCGCCCCCCGTGGTTGAGAACTTCGGCTGGGGCCCGAAAAAAATTGGAGCATGGTGCAGATTTCTGCAAACCAAATTCGCCGGCCCAACGGGCCAGGGCGTGCTAAGATCTCCGGTAACTGGTTAACAGTATTAACAGTATTTCTAGTTCGCGCGCGCGGGGCGGCCCCTGGGGGTCCCCCGGCGAAACCCCCCGCCCAACGCCCGTCGCCGCCCGACCGCGCCCGACCGCCGCCCGACCAAGTCTACTCAGAGATGGTTTTCCTTCTGGGTGCGGCCTCTCAGGCTCCCCAGAGCGCGCTCAGAGTGCCCCAAGAGGCCCCCAAGACTGCCCAAGAGGCCCCCGAGACGCCCAAAGAGCGCTCGAAGACGCCGAAGATGACCCCAAGACGGCCCAAAAGGCCCCCAAGACAGCCCAAGAGGCCTCCAAGACGCCCCAAGAGCCTTCCAAGAGGCCTCCGAAGAGAGCCCCAAGAGGCCAAAATCGTTGATTTTCATTGGTTTTTCCGATGTTTTTTGTGTTCTGGCTTTTTCGGCTTCCGGACGCTCCAAGACGGCCCAAGAGGCCCCCAAGACCGCTCCAAGACGGCCCACGAAGCTCCCAAGACGGCGCCGAAACGACCCAAGAGAGCCCTCAAGACGGCCCAAGTGCCGCCCAAGACGGACCAAGAGGCCCCAAGACGGGCCCAAGAGGGACTCAGGAGGGATACCGAGAACTCAAAAATGGAGCCCTCCGTCCCAGAAGGCGCCCAGGAGGTCCCAAAGAGGCCCCAAGAGGCCTCCAAGAGGCCCCAAGATGTCGCCAAGAGGCCCCAGGAGACTCCCAGGAGGCCAAAAGAAGCCCCAGAAGGCTTCAAACATGTCTCCCAGGCGCCCCCGAACGGCCTCTCAACAGACCCCAAGAGGCCCCCCAAAGAAGCATCTTGACGACGACTCTATTTCGCCCCATCGAGAGACGACCCCCAGGGAACTGCTTCACCATCAAAACTCCCCACGCAACGCGTCCGAACGACACCCGCCCCCAAGAGCGCAACATGGGCAACGAACACACAGACAAAAACCAGCGATGCCATATCACGGGCCGGCGGCAACGCGTCCGAACGACACCCGCCCCCAAGAGCGCAACATGGGCAACGAACACACAGACAAAAACCAGCGATGCCATATCACGGGCCGGCGGAATGAGCGAAGCGATTCAATTGCGTCCCTGAGCGGCTCCTCAGCTGAACTTGCTCATTTCATCGATTCAGTTGCAAATCTCAGGGCCCGTTTCGCAACAGAGTGTTGTTTTCCGCCAAGTGGCAAACATAAACAACGCAGTTTTGTGGGGGCCACGCGGATGCTCTTCCAGCCTCGGCGTGTCGCGTCTGCGCAGAGGCTTCGCCTCTGCAGTATATACCGCCACCGTTGGTCCCAAGCTCCCGCCTGCGCCACCCTGAAATATTAATAGGGTGCGTGGCGCAGAATTTTGAAATTCGAGCTGTGTCCGCGAACGGCCCATCAGTTGAGCTCGCTAATTTCATAGGTCCAGCGGCGAATATCAGGGCCCGCCTCGCAGCATAATGTTGTTCCCCGCCAAATGGCGAACAGAACACGATGATGGTGGTGGTAGTGATGGTGACGATGATTATGGTGCCGATGATGCAGGTGATGATGATGGTGATGGTGGTGCTGATGGTCATGATGATCTTAATGGTCATGGTGATCATGCTCATGCGGATAATGACGATGCTGATCGTGATGGTGTTGATGATGATGGGGGTGACGATGATATGTTGACGGTGATGATAATTACGCTAAATCGAAGGATGCTGATTTTGATGATGGTGAGAACGAAGGTGATGGTGATGATGATGGTGGCCGGGTTTGGTGGTGATAATGATGACGACGCCGATGTTGATGGTGGTGGTGGTGATGGTGATGATGTTGGTGATGATGATGGTGGCGATGTTGAGGATATTGATGATGTTGCTGATGATTGTGATGCTGATGCTGATGATGTTGGTGATGTGATGTTGATCCTGATCACGACGACGATGAGTAGGAGGGTTTACAGAAAGAGGCGGATGAATACTGTATTGTTGATAAGGATAAGGATGATGGTGAGATTGATGTCGCTGGTGATCGTGATGGTGATGTTGATGATGATGGTGTCGGTGAGGATGATCATGATGGTGACGATGACGATGATGGTGGTGAGGATGGTGATGATGCTGGTGACGGGTGGTGGTAATGCTGCTGATGTTGATAGTGACGATGATGTTGATAGTGGTGGTGGTGATGGTGGTGATCAGCATGTTGATGGTGGTGGTTGTGATGATCGATCTGCTGAAGATGAGGATGTGGATGGTGCTGAAGCTGATGATGATGAGGACGATGATGGTGATTCTGGTGGTGGTGGTACTGGTGGTGGTAGTTACGATGAGGATGATGGTCATGGTCATGGTGAAAGTGGTCGTAATGACGATGATGATGTTGATGGTTGTGTTGGTGGTGTTCCTGATGATGATGGCGATGGTGGTGGTGATGATGATGATCATCATTCGATAATAGTAACGGTGATGATGGTGATACTGATGATGCTGATAATCATGGTGATGATGACGACGGGATGGTGATTGTGATAGTGATGGTTGTGATGATGATGGTGACGACGATGATGATTGTGGTAGTAGTGGTTCTGGTGATGGTGGTGATGATGATGATCTTGGTGAGGGTGGCGGTGATGATGACGATGACGATGACAATGCTAACATGTATGATGATGATGATGGTGACGGCGATTATGCTGATGACGACGACGACGACAGCGACGATGATGATGCTGATTATGATGGTATTGCTGTTGATGGTGATGGTGACTATGATGCGGCTGCTGCGGATGATGATGTTGCTGTTGCTGCTGCTGATGATGATGATGATGCTGCTGCTGATGATGATGATGATGCGGCTGATACTGATACTGCTACTGATGATGATGATGGTGATGATGATGATGCTGCTGCTGATGATGATGACGTTAATACTGATACTGCTACTGATGATGATGATGATGCTGATGATGATGATGCTGATGATGATGATGATGGTGGTGATGATGAATGAGATGAGGAGGAGGAGGAGGGGGAGGAGGAGGAGAGGAGGAGGAGGGGGAGGGGAGGAGGAGGGAGGAGGAGGAGAGGAGGAGGAAGGCAGGAGGAGGAGGAGGAGGACAGGAGGAGGAGGAGGAGGAGGAGGAGGAGGAGGAGGAGGGGGGTCGAGGTTCCTCCCTTCCAAAGAAGACCAGCACGCCGCGCGCCGAGGGCGCGGACCACCTCGCCGAGGCGGCCACCGTGCTGCAGGCCGCACCGCCCACGAGTCGCACCGGGGGGCAGGGGGCGTTGTCGACCTCCCGCGAGGGGGCCTTCTCGGCCCCCACAGCCTTGGGCCCTCCGCTGGGATCGAGGATCCCCGACCCCCTCGATCGCAGGCGATTTGTCTCCCCAAATCCCTGAGTTCCGCCCGAACAGTTTGGCCGCTCAGAAAAAAAAACATAAACCCTGTGCTGCCCCCAAGGGTGCTAATTTTTCGGACGCGCTTCTATCGAGGATGTACGCCCCCCCTCGTATATCCCAGGGTTGGGCCCACAATTTATGGTCCATCCGAAAACTCCACAAAGCCTGAAATACGGGTCGACATATCCCTTGTTATTCGAGCCAAGCAAAAATCCACGACGGTGTTTCGGCAGTCCGCAGTTTCGGCATTTGGGGGTCCTTCCCGGGCCTCGGGACTGCCAAAAAACGATTCATGATGAAAAACCGGTCCCGAGGAATGGGTCGAGACTTCTGGGATTCGACGTTATGACAAGAATCATGACGTCGGGTGTCCAGGATTGCAGGGGAGTGGCCCTGAAGAGGGCCGAGCTGGCGCCACCGCGGGCCCAGACGGTGCACGCATGGCGCATGTTTTTTCACCTTCCGTTTTTTGGATCTCCGTGCGTGAACACCCGACACGGGAGGGGCGGGTGGGGGCGAGGGCGCGAAGACGGCCGCGCTTCGCGCTGGGCGGAGCTCGCAAGGAAGAACGAGTTCCCTGCAAGAGGAAGGGCGAGAGGGAGAGACAGAGGGAGAGACGTGTCCTAGGGTTTTCTCCGTTTTCGGCGTCTCGGGGTACTTTTCGGACCGTTGAAAGACACACGGTTCGGGATGAACAAAGCCATTGGGGAGAGCGCCCCGGGGTCCGTGGCTCGTTTCCCTCAGGGCCCCCTATCCGTCATGGCAATGCGTTCGGAATCAGCCAACCTGGTTGACCCGTCTCAGTTAGGCGACCCGGAGGTTGGTTTTGTTGGTTCAGTGAACCCGTTCTACCCGCCACGGGGGGTCGCCCCTCCTCCCCGCAACAGTGCCGAACGTACGCGGGTGAGGGGGGGCGGTTCAGCCACAAGCATGGCGCGGTGGTCACAGACATGCCGTGGTGTTGACAGGCATGCTTCGGTGCTCACAAGCATGCTGTGACGCTTGCAGGCCCTCCAGCCAATCCGCATAGTAAGGATGAGCAGCTTTCCTCCAAGGTTACCGTTGCGTCCTTCCCCTTCGGCCCATCCGTGGCCACTTTCGCTGGCCGCGCCTCGCGCGCAAAGTGTCGACCTGGCCTTCCAAGGCCCCTGCATCCATGATGTGCGTCCTTATTGTACGACTTGACTGGACACCCTCGCTCCATCGCCGTAACGGACGCTACGGAGAGGGGATCTAGAAACATCATCCTAGCTCATCCGCCGCCGCTCTGCCTTTTGTCTGCGCCGCCGCGGCATGGGCTCTCTGCTCTTGGCTCTGTCGGAGGGGTCGGCGCAACGCTTTTCTGGGTTAGCAACACGTGCTGGCGAAGAACAGACCCGTAAACAGAAGCTTTCGGAGTGCGGATTTAGTGGATCGGCGCTGCACCACCCTGGCGCCGCCCCTGGCGCGCTCCGCGCGTCAAGGAGGGGAGTCCAGCATCGATCCAAGAAATCCGCGCGTCCCTCAGAGACAGGATGGGTTCGACTTGTCTGTGCTTCTGAGCTTGCTCCTCCATATGTTCTAGTTTGCCGACCTGCTCGAAAGATTGAGCTCGTCAAGCTGTTGTAATATGGTCTCCTCTGGCCCCACTAGCTCTTCTGACGTGTCCACGTTTTGATTTGGTTAGCTGTCGTTCCTTAGACCGTCCGGCTGCAATAGCCGTTGTCATCTCTCTTGATCGTTTTTACATCTTCTTAGTTTCGTCCGCTCTAATTTGGTTAGCTCACTCAGCTCTAACCACCTGTCCGATTTTTACATCTATTTACATTCGCCCATTCTAGCAATGCACCTGCTGCTTTGGCGGTGGGTCAGCTAGGGGACAGCTCCTGGACAGCCGCTCGCGGGCAACCACAAGTCAATCGCACGGGACAAGCGCGGACAAAGCCTCCATCATCGTATCGCCGATATTGTCATGACCCGGGTAGCCCTACCAACCCGTAAAGCTTCTTCGAACCACGTTCAATTCGTATGTTCAGCTGCTCTTATCGCTCGTCTACTCCTGAGAAGTTTCCCAAACTCGTCTAATTACCGTCGACTGATTCAGTTATTCTGGCGACCGTTGAGCCTCAGAACAGCCACGGGGCAACCGTGGGACAAGCGCGCGCAGCGGCACGATGTACAGTACAGCTTCGGGGCGTGCCAGCACCGCCAACAGCTCCACGGGACAACCGCGGAGCAGCAGCGTGAACCAACCACGGGACAACCACGGGACCACCGCGGGACAGCGACAGGACAACGGGCAATTGCAGGACAACCACGGCCTGACCTCGTGCATTACGGCGGGACAGCCCCGGTGCGGCCGCGACGGCCACGGGGAGAATCGTATTGACAAGACGCTGAAGTACGGACCACGTTGGGCTCTTTAGGGGCTTTGATCTTCGGGCCGCTCCTGAGATTTGGGTCGGGCAACCTGTTCTTGACCGAGGCTCGCCGTGGCCAGGCAGGCCCCATTCATTCCTTCTTCAGCGATCCTTGTAAGCGGGTCGCTGAATCAGGAACCCTTTTCGTTTGGGAGGGATCCAGTGTTCCGTATTTGTTGTTTAGTTGTTCGCAGGTTGTCCATGGGAAATCGAAGTCTAGTTTATGGATAAGATGGTTTCGTTCCTCATTGAAGGTTGCACGACGACTACATTACCAAGAGATGCGCCCCACTGGGAAACGATCTCGCACGGCTTCAGCTCGCCCGCACGCGCGGCACGAGCGCAGTCCGAGTCCGACTCACCGATGGGTGAGGGCCTCTCATTTTCACATCGATCTGAACATCGATCTGAATCCCCGGAACCCGCAGTGGCAAGCAGACCGGGAGGGCGGGCTTCCTCGGTACAGGCCTCCCCCCAGCAAGCAAGCAGCTCACTAAAAGAGTGGGCTCCGACCAGGACTCGGAGGGGAGCCCGGCCGTGGCGGCGATCAGCTCCCTCCCCCGGAGGCCAGGCGGGCAGAAGAAATGCCGAGATATCCTCGACCCACGAAGTTCGTACCTCCCCCCAGGGGGGGGGGGGAGGAGGAGGTGGCGGGTGGGAGGCAGGGGGAGAAAGGGATGGGAGGAGAAGGATGATGATCTTCGAGCTTCGAGCTATCCGACGTAGTCGTTGAAGGAAAGATTAGGAACCGCGGTGACGCTGCTCAGCCTTGCTAAGCTGCTTCGGCCACAGGCCCGCCGTCAATCGATTGAGATACTCACGACGGTGGGGCAGGAGAAGGATGATGATGAGTGGCAGGATGGGGAGGAGGAGGGCAGTGTGTTGGCGGAGGGGCAGGGCGAGGGAGAGGACGAGGAGGAGGAGGAGGAGGAGGAGGAGATCGGGGGCGGCCAAGAGGGGGGTAATGACTAGGGGGGGTGCCATGATATCTCCCCAAAGTTCATGGCGCCTCTTCTCATTTCAACACGTGCCTGGGACGCCCCCGTCTTGGCCGCCCCCGAGGAGGAGGAGGAGGAGGAGGAGGAGGAGGAGGAGGAGGACTTGCCTCTCGCGGGACCGATCACACCTGACTTGATCCAGCTTTACCGTGAGAAGGCCGAAGCTCTTGTGCCTGTGTGGGGACATTTATCTATTGTGAGTATGGTCAAATATCTGGGGATGTGGATCGGACCCGACTACGAGGCACAATCCTGGAAGGCCCCGATTTCCAAGTGGCGCTCGCGTGGGAGTCTGCTGGCAGTTACCAATTCCCCCACCTCTACTACTTCCATGCTGTACTCTTCTCGCGTTGCCTCGACCCTCTCGTATGTTGCGCAGTTCATCCCCCTCCCACCCCGCATCGACCACGACGAATCAGTGCTGCTAGCCCGAATATTCCACCTGCCTTTCTGCGGCTTGGCGAGAGCCTCGTTCTTTTCGTGGTCCGCTTGGGGAGGACCAAAGATACCATCCGTACAGGCAATGGCACTGGCTGCCCGAACTAGAGCTGCGTGGGATACATTCGACTGGGAACCGAGCTATCATCGCTTGCGCTCTGCCTCTGAGGAACACCGTGGTCTTGGGTACACTATCTCGGGTCAGCTCTCTCCTGAATTCTGGTCATCCCCCGCCATATGTCAACACATGTATGTAGCACGTAACGGACACCCTGATCATCCTCTTCACCACCTCCTTCTCCAACATCTGACTGAGTGCGCCTCCCTGCAAGTAGAGAACCCCCGTCGCGAGAAGTTTAAAATCCAACGCTTTTTAACCCGTGCGTTTCCCCAAACGTTGCACCCCGACCCAAACCGCTCGCTCCTCGATTCTCGCCTTCGGAGCTGGTTCCCTGGGTGTGGCCCGCGTCTCGACTTGATTCCTTGGGCAGAGGTGCAGCGTGTAGCCTCCAAGCTGAAGCCGGCCCTGGCCTCCGCTTGGTTCCGCACGGTTTCCAAGAATTGGCTCACACAGTGCCGATTCCAGAAGTCGATTGCCGAAGATGCGTGCTGTAAACTAGGCTGCTCCAGACAATCAGGCGGCGAAGACCACATTCACCACTACTGGTGCTGCATTCCGTTCTACGCCCTCGTTGCCAAGTCTCTCGGGCTTCGCGTCCTTCCTTGGGACCCTCTGGACCGCCTTGGGGTGCTGGATCCGTCTCGCAAGTCCTGTGAGATCCCTGTCGCCGCTTATTTCTTGTACAATGCAACTCGTGCGAAGTACTCGATTCTAGGCCGTCCTCTCAGACGGGAGGAGGCTCTGGAGCTGGAGCCTGTCGTCGCCTTAGCCGTGGGGCGGTAGGGCGCGGCCGAGGGAGAGACCGAGCGCCTCGGCCACGTGGCAGGAGGAGGAGGAGGAGGAGGAGGAGGAGGAGGATCGTTTAGTCGGTCGTTAGCTGACGTCTGGACTCGGCTCCCCGCAGTAACAATGGCAGGCCGCGGGCGCGGCGAGAGGGGCCCAGAGCGCCCGAACAGGCAACGCAGGCCTACGCCCAGATGGGGGAGGAGGAGGAGGAGCAGCAGGAGGCCCCCCACCCGCGGCCCAGGCGGCCTGGAGAGGACGCGCGGCCCGGGCGCGCGCGTCGGCGGAGACGCTCCGGCAGCGGGAGGAGCGGCTGCAGGCTACCCCGCTCCACCTTGCCGCCGCCATCGCGCCGTGCGCCGACCGCCGCGGCTGGCTGGCCGTGGCGCCGTCGTCGCCGCCGCCGTCGTCATCGCCGCCGCCGTCGTCGCCGTCGCCGTCGCCGCCGTCGTCACCGCCGCCGCCGTCGTCATCGTCGTCGTCGTCGTCGTCGTCGTCGCCGTCGTCGTCGTCGTCGTTGCCGCCGTCGTCGCCGTCGCCCCAGATCTCCGACGAACTTGATTTATTGCGGGTCTTTTTTTTGTTGGGGGGGAATTTCGGCTTCCAGGGTCCACTCTTGGGCCTCATGGGACAATCAAACGCTGGCGGGGGAGGAAAAAAACGACCTCGGGCAGAGGGATCGGGACCTTCTTGGGGCCGCCCATTGGAAAGATCATATTGGCGGATATCAAGGGAGGTCGCCTCCGCCGAAGCCGAAGCCGTCGTCGTCGCCGCCGTCGTCGTCGTCGTCGTCGTCGTCGTCGTCGTCGTCGTCGTCGTCGTCGTCGTCACCGTCACCGTCACCGTCAGCGTCATCGCCGTCGCCGTCGTCGTCGTCGTCGTCGTCGTCGTCGTCGTCGTCGTCGTCGTCGTCGTCGTCACCGTCGTCGTTTCCGCCGCCGTCGCCGTCGTTTTTGTATGTTTTTCCAGACTTCTTACGGCCATGGCCGGCGCGGCTCGGACGAGCGACCAGAGAGGACTTGGCTATAGGGGTCTAGGGACCAGTGTTGACTGGAGTCTGGTCGCTGTCGTTCTCGTCGTCCTGATTATTCTTCTCTCTCCTTTCCTCGTCCACCCCCTCCCTTCCCTCATTCCTCCCTTCCTCTCCCTCCCCCCTCCGTCTGATCCTCCCTACTCCTTGCTCGTCATCCTCTCCCTCCCCCCTTCTCGTCCCTCCTCTTGCTCCTTCCCCTTCTGAATCTTCCTGCCCATCCTCTCCCTCCTCCCTCTCCTCCCCCTTCGGCGACGGGATGAGGAGGAAGGGGGAATGGGGGGCGGGGTGGGAGGGAGGAAAGAGGAGGTGTAGGTGCGGGGGGGGGATCTCGAGCGAGGAGGGAGCAGGGATAGCGGGAGGGAGGAGGATCCTCGCGGAGGAGCAGGAGGATGAGGTGAGAGCGAGGGTCAGTTGTGGGAGGGCGAGGGGGCAGCTCCCTTCCCCCCCGTTCCCTTGTTCTCCCTTCCTTCCCTCCGCACGTCCTCCTCTTGCATCCTCTCGCTTCCCCTCCCACTTCCCTCCCTCCCTGCCTGGGGCACCTCGCAGTCTCGGGACGACGTGGCCAATTTCTTCCCTCCCACACACTCAATCACCCACTCTCTTGCGCCTGCGGTTGGCAGACTGCTGGTGAAGAGGAGAAATCTTACCGAGTATTGCCACGCCCGTACCACTGCCCAGCCTCGCAACTGGCGGGGGGGAGTTGAGGGGAGGGGGAGCAGTGTAGCGGAGCGGATGGGTCCTGACGGGTGAGACGGGAAGGGTGGGGGGCACCAGACAGTGTTTGTGTTGCGAGGTGTGGTCGAGAGAGGTGGGGGCAGAGAGAGAGAGAGAGAGAAAGAGAAAGAGAGAGACAGAGGAGCCAGAGAGAGAGAGAAGGAGGAAGAGAGAGAGAGAGATATATAGAGAGAGTGAGAGAGAGGGAGGGGGAGAGAGAGAGAGAGAGAGAGGGATATATATATATAGGGAGCGAGAGGGAGAGAAGGACAGAGATCGGACAAGTAAACGGGAGTCCCGTCGACAGCTGGCTACTGCTGTAGCTGAGGCCGCCATCGCATTCTTTGCGGTGGTGCGCACCTTGGGGAACAGGGGAAGCTGAAACACACACACCCGGCGCTAAGCGACTCAGGCAAGAGACGGGGTGCTGAGCAGGCGATGCGCCAAGTCTCTCTGAATTCGCGTGGGAAAATGGCCCACGTTAATGGAACGAAGAATGACAGAAACATGAAAATTCTGAGGTCCGCGCAGATTTCGTGGATCCGCGCTGGACCCCATTCCCTGGCGCGCGGAGCGCGCCAGGGGCGGCGCCGGAGGCGCCGCCAGTGTACACCACACCGCCTATGTAAACCACAACAGCCTCGTGCAACACAGCGTCAGTTTGTGCCACCGTGCCTGCGGGCACAACAGCTCTTGTGAACACCACAGTGCTTGCGTACACCACATCAGCCGTGCGCAACACAGCACCAGTCTACACCACAATGCCTGCGTGCATTGCAGTGCCTGTGTTCACCACCGCGCCTGTGTGCACCACAGCAACAGTGCGCAACACAGCACCACTGTTGTATATAGAATGTTAGAACGAATCCGTATGACAAAATGGAGCGTTTTGGGATTCCAAAGAAAACACCAGAAAATAGTCCTTATGGACAGCGGGGCGCCGCTGGAATCCACGAGTCTTCCCGAGTCCGCCCGCATCACCCTAACTCCTCCCATCTGCGTCCAGGAGGCTCCAGCTACATTGGCCGTCCGAGAACCAAGTGGACCGATTCGATGAACCATTATGCGGTGCGCGCTGAGATGCGCACGTGCGCTGTAGCGCCACGCCGCACGACAGGGGGTAAGGAGGAGGAGGAGAAGGAGGGAGAGAAGGAGGAGGAGAAGGAGGAGAAGGTTTCCTGGCGTGGCGTCTAGTTGTCCGCCGCAGATCCTCACGTACATGCTCCTTCTACCTGTCCTGTGCACGCAGGCGTTGTGGTGTACACCAGCGCTGCGTTGCACGCGTACGCTGTGGTGTAGACGCGCCCCGTGGCGTGCACAGACGCTGCGGTGCACGCAAGCACTGTGGTGTACATAGGCGATGCGTTGCACATGGTAGCTGCGGTGTACACATGTACACCGGCGCTGTACTGTACGCAAGCACTGTGGTGTACGCAGGCGCTGCGTTGCACACGGTTGTTGCGGTGTACGCAGGCTCTGTGGTATTCATGCGCGCTGTGGTGCACGCGAGCGCTGTGGTGTACACAGGCGCAGTCGGGCATATCGCCACCTACATGCTGCTCGCGTCGTCGTCGTCGTCGTCGTCGTCGTCGTCGTCGTCGTCGCTCGTCGCTCGTCGCGCGTCGCGTCGCGCGTGCGGGCGCGGGTGCGGTGCCCGAGCCACACGGGGGGGGGGGCGTTACGTCATACCCCCCTTCGCCGCCCCCCCATGACGTCCGTCGTCGCCGAACATAAAGAAGCGCGCTCTATGCGGGCATGCGTGGCACCGAGACGGCCATGCAGTGCAGTGTTGGGACGGGTACCGCCCCGTCGGGCGGAGGCGAGGGTCGGTGGGAGACGAGGGCAGCCCGAGCCCTGTGAATGCAATGCATCAGCAGGCCTTGTTGGGAGGTCATAGAACGAACCTGGCGCGAAAGCGCGGTGAACTGGAGACTCAGGTGGTCGTATGACGCCTGGAGCCTGGAGCTCTGCGGCTCGACCCTGGGCAAGACGCGGAACATGAGGCGGGCGGGCAGCAGCAGCCCTGCTGGCGAGGTGCGTGTCGAGGTCCGCGGCGGTCAATGCCTCGCGTGGGCACTGGTTCAGGCTTGCAGGTGATGACGGGCGTCGCCGCGGGGGCCCGTCGACCGACAAGGGAGGGCCTGGCCAGCGCGGCTCGGCGCGGTCGGGCGGCAGAGGAGGGTGCCAGGCCAGAAACGCTGCTGGCAACAGCTACCGCAGTGGGAGGCCCACCGGCCAGGTCGGCGTGGCGCTCAGGTCGGCGTGGCGCTCGTGCTTGGGTGTGGTAAGGCTAGCGCACGACCGCACGGGGCGGTGCGGAGTGAGCCAGGGGCGCATGGAGCTGGCGGCAGCGGCTGAGCCAGAACGTGGTTGAACGTCGCCTGGGGCGACTGGGAACTGGTGTCCTCGTCGTTCCCGTTGCCCGCGAGGCCGAACGTAACTTCCTGGTCCCCCAAGCCTGAGCCATAAAACATAGAGTTAGAAGGAGAGGACAAAGGAAACGGAGAGGGGGAGGGGGAGAGGACAAGCTAGGTGCGCTCGCGTCATATCTGACGTCCTACCCCTCCCTCCCATCCCTTACCATGGCGCTGATTTTCTCTATCCGCGGACGCGTGTCGTAGCGGACCTGTGGCTCCGCGCGCGCGTGCGTAGTGGGTGGTGGTGCGCGTGCGTGCGTGCGTGCGTGTGTGCGTGGTTGTGGTGGTGCTGGTGCTGGTGCTGGTGCTGGTGCTGGTGCTGGTGCTGGTGCTGGTGCTGGTGCTGGTGTGGTGGTGGTGGTGGTGGTGGTGGTGGTGGTGGTGGTGGTGGTGGTGGTGGTGGTGGTGGTGGTGGTGGTGCGGCGCGGTGGTGGCGGGCGGATGGGCGCGCGAGAAAGAGGCCCGCGCTGGGGCGAGAACGCCATCCTGAACGACGGAGGCCAAACACCGATCCGAAAATGATGCCCACGCTGCAGCGGGAGCACGATTCGGAACGATTCGGGAACAGAAATGAGGCCGGCGCCTCAGCGAGAGCAGCATTTTGAAAAAAAACGCAGGCGAAAACCCGTTTCCCGGGAATCCTGTGTGTAAAAAAACAGTACGCAGGGGGGGGTCGGCCATCTTCGGGACGCCATCAGGGGAAGTGGGAGAGTATTTTCATATTGTGTAATTGTAGACAGGGAGAAAATGAGGGAAAGGGAGAGGGGCAATGTTATGGGGGGACTGGCCCCAGGGGGGGGGGGGGAGCATCGAGCCCCAATCGCTCATTCGTCGCCGATCGGGGCTTGCGTGCTTCAGCCTGCCCAGGATCGCCGGGTTTCCCATCGGTGGCCTATCGCCGACCCGGCGGTTAAGTATATCGCCGATTCCGGGTCGATGCCCTCCCATCCCTGAGCCCGCCTCCTCCCCCGACCCTTCCACGCGCGCGGCGGGACTCCTGCAGCGTGCGCCGTGGAGGCACGGGGGTGCTCGGGTCTCCGGGGAGGACGGCCGGTCCACATCCCTGTCGCGCTGGCCCGGAGGCCGACGGGCGGAGTGCGCACGTGGCGGGATGCCATGCCGCGGCCCTATAGGGCCGGCCCACTTGGCGAAGCCAGCCTGGAGCCTACAGCTCGACGGCGAGCCCTGCGGGGAACGCAGAGGGGTCGGGCCTGTCCGAGAAGGCTCGGGAGGCCTCGGGCCTTCGGGAACGGTTTCTGCAGTCACCCCCCGCAGAGTGGGGAGTGGGGATGAGCAACAATCCAAGGCTCCCCGGGCATCCTTGCGGGCAAGTCTCGCTGGCCAGCCCCACTCGACAAACGTCAGTATAGTATGGCTTGCCAAGGCCTTCTATCTTTACCGCTCATCCTTAATATATGGATTGATTGCAAGCCTTCTCGGGTAGGCGGCTTCTCAGAAGGCCGGAGGGTTTCTCAGAAGGTCCGCCGCCTTCCTGGAAGGCATGCCCCCTCTCACTGCCCCTCTGGGCGCGCCGCCGACTGACGGGATCCCAGACATTCGATACCCTAATGTTTTCAATGCGCGCCTCTTCAAGCGCTTTCCTACTTCAACACCAGTATAATGTTTTTGCTGTTTTTTGCTTTCTCTGAGAGGGCCTGAATCCAACATACTTTATCCGCCGTCCGTCCTAGTTCATGTTTTTACTTACTTGTTCCGATCCACGTGTACGTGGTCCCCAGAAGTCCTGGCTCTTTCCCCAGGACCGGCTTTTCATCCCGAGCCGTGTTTGGACGGTCCTGGGGCCTGGTGAGGGCCCCCAAAGGCCGACGAGGGCCCAAATTTTGCCGTCTTGATTTTTGCGCGACCCGAGCATGTCTGGGCTCGCAACCTCCAGTCGACCCGCATAGTGAGGATGAGTGATTTTCCGAGGCTTTGCCCCTTCGGCCCAACCCTGGGCCGCTTTCTCGCTGGTCGCGCCCCGCTCGCAGGCCGTCGACGTGGCCTTCAAGGCCCTTGCCAAACCATACGGGCTGCCTGCACCCTTTTCCCGGCGCCCCCCCCCCCTGCCCCGCCCGGCGCTCGGCGCACGGCGAGGCCCAAGACCTCACTGCCTCCGGCGGCGCGCGCAGGTCGCCCGCCCCGTCTCCGCCGCCGCCTGGGGCTCCCTTCAGATCCTGGCATCTCCTCCTCCCCCCCCCCCCCTCCGTCTCCTGAGCAGATGGGATCGGAGGAACGCGCCGCATCGCCGATGCATCTTCGATGTGGAGCCTGTGCTTCCCCACACCGATGTCGCCGATGTGTCGCCGACGTCGCAGACGCATCGCCGATGCATCGCCGATACATCGGCGACGCATTGGCGATGCGGTGCGATCCTCCGACCGCATCTACGCCGAACACATCTATGAGGGCTTCTAAAAAAACGGTTCGTCGTCGCCGACATTGGCACGTAAGTTGCCCGCGTAAGGTCGCGCGTAAGCGCTCTCGTTTCCAAGGTAGCGTGCCGCGCTGGCGGCCCGCGGAAGCTGCCGCGTAAGGTCGCTAAGTATGCCATCTTGCACACGACCAGTTCTTTTTCGTCGCTCGATTGGGAAGGCCTTACGGCCGGTGCCGCCGACCCTGAACCCTGAAGGGGGACGACGGCCACGACGGCAGCGTTGGCGGCGACGACGACGCTGACGTGCGGTCTTTTCAGAGCGGCTCGCGACCCGCGTGTCGACTGCACCCCCCCCCGACGGACGACGGACGAAGGACGACGGACAACGGACGACGGACGACGGACGACGGACGACGCGGCGACGACGACGACGAGGACGACGACGACGCCACGACGACCCGATGACGACGACGATGACGACGACGACGACGCCACGACGACGACGACGACGACGACGACGACGACGACGACGACGACGACGACGACGACGACGACGACGACGACGACGACGACGACGACCGACGACGAGTCTCAGTGATGCTTCGTGGGGCCTCGTCGGAGCGCGCTCGGCGCGCGGGCCCCGACGGGGCTCTCTTGAGATCCTTGCGCCTCAATCTGTTCGGGCCCCTCTTCTGGCCTTTGTCGGGCCTTTTCCTGGCCTTCTCGGATCCTTTTCGGGCCTTTCTCGAGCTGAGCGTTTTCATTATGTTTCGGCGAGGCGATGGGGTTTAGGGCTCCGAGCGTGATTATTCATGGTGTTGCAATTTTTTGAGTTGTCAGATCTCAGGGTCACGTGAAGCGTTCCAGAAAGGCCCTCGAGTCGACGTCTACTCCTCAGCAGAAGGCCAGCGCAAGGCTGGCAGAAGCCAGCGGCAGTGAAGCGGGGGTGCGCTCTTCCAGCGGAAGGCTGGCGGGAGCCAGCGGAAGCAAAAGATGCGCACCCCAGAGATGTCACCATGCGGTTTCCAGAGCCCCTCACGTAACGTGGGTCAGCGCAAACGGGGAGTCAGCCCACTCCTTCTGGCTGACCTGGGTTTGGGAGCCACGTAGGGCCGATTCCCCATTTCCGCTCTCCGTCGGCTCGTGTTTGGGAGTCACCAAGCGGCCAGTTGGGCTTCGCGACAGGGCCCTGGCCGACCCAGGGTTTGGGCTGACCCGAGGTGGTGCCCCCCCGGGGAGGGTCCAGACCTCTGGGGAGGCACGTTCTGAAAACTGCACGGCGCCGGATGTCTGGGTAAACTTGCCCTGGAGGGAAAGGCGTCCTGGAGGTCTCTGGCCGCTTCTCTTGCCCGCCGCCCTCTCCCAGGGCCCCGGGGCCGTCGAGGAACGACTCGGGATGGCAAGTCGGTCCCGGAGAGTTCGGGCCAGACGAAAGGGCAGGATAGGGGAAGGGGGGATTACGAAATCTGCTGCTTACGGCTGGATTTCCGCCCCGCAGCCGGGCCCATTCCACGATACATGGGCGCCTCCTTGCGCCAAGAGGCGCCAGAAACACCAGCTGCGTGAGCTGCTTCTCCTTTGCTATCCTACCTTTTCGTCCCCCCCGTGGGGTCCAGGGCCCGTGTCCACCAGGGCCCCTTTGCTTCACAACAGCGGCAGCGCCGGACTCTCACGTGGTCGACCTCGCGGGACCGTCTCTCGTTTTCGGCCCCCGGGGCCATCCGCTGGACGGCTGGGGAGGAAGGGCCGATCCCCGAAGAGGAGGTCGAGAGCTTCGGGTTGTGGCGACTCGAGAATATTCGACAGACGGAAAAACGTCATAACCATAAACTTGTCTCACGGTCCGCGCGGATTTCTTTCGATTTGCCTTCGGCGCCGCCCCCGGCGCGCTCCGAGCGCCAGGACTGTTTATGTTGTTTTTCCCAACCATCTTGTGGTGTTGGGTCTTCGTTTTGAAGAGACGGTCCCCGCGTTCCCTCCTTCCCTCCTTTCCCCCTCCTCCCTCCGCCTCCTCCCCCTGCTCCCTCCTCCCTGCGTTTCACCCACCCAGTGCAGCGCCTCGTGGCCCCATAGGAAGCTACACAGAAGGCCCCAGTGCCACGGCTCGCATGCGTCACCCATGCCCATTTCGGTACACCGCTCGCACGTTTCGTGTGCCACCGCCCGCATGCGTTCGTCACCCACACCCGTGTCGGTACACCCCTCACACGCTTCGTGGCGCCATAGGGAGCTCCACCGAAGACCCCAATGCCACCGCCCGCATGCGTCGCACACACACACACACACACACACACACACACACACACATACACACATTCACACACACATTCACACACACACACACACACCCACACACACATGTCTTCACACACACACACACACCTCGCACGTTTCGTGGCCCCATAGGGAGCTCCACCGAAGGCGAAAGTGCCACCGCCCGCATGCGTCACCCACACCCATTTCGGCACACCACTCACATGTTCGTGGCCCCATAGGGAGCTCCACCGAAGGCCCCAGTGTCACCGCCCGCATGTGCCACCCACACCAATTCCAGCACATCCCTCGCACGTTTCGTGGCCCCATAGGGAGCTCCACCGAAGGCCCCAGTGCCACCGTCCACATGCGTCACGTACACCAATTTCGGCACACTGCTCACATGTTTCGTGGCCCCATAGGCAGCTCCACCGAAAGCGACAGTGCCACCGCCCGCATGCGTCACCCACACCCATTTCGGTACACCCCTCGCACGCTTCGTGGCCCCATAGGGAGCTCCAACGAGGGCGACAGTGCCACCGCCCGCATGCGTCACCCACACCCATTCCGGCACACCCCTCACATGTGTCGTGGCCCCATAGGCAGCTCCACCGAAGGCCCCAGTGCCACGGCCCGCATGCGTCACCCACACCCATTTCGGTACACTCCTCGCACGTTTCGTGGCCACATAGGGAGCTCCACCGGAGGCGACAGTGCCACCGCCCGCATGCGTCACCCACACCCATTTCGGCACACCCCTCACACGTTTCGTGGCCCCATAAGGAGCTCCACCGAAGGCCCCAGTGTCGCCGCCCGCATGCGCCACCCACAGCAATTCCAGCACATCCCTCGCACGTTTGGTGGCACCATAGGGAGCTCCACCGAAGGCGACACTGCCACCGCCCGCATGCGTCACCCATACCCATTTCGGTACACCGCTCGCACGTTTCGTGCACCCATAGGGAGCTCCATCGAAGGCGACAGTGCCACCGCCCGCATGCGTCACCCACAGCACCCACACCCATTTCGACACACCCCTCACACGTTTCGTGGCCCCATAGTGAGCTCCACCGAAGGCGACAGTGTCACCGCCCGCATGCCACACACACACACACACCAATTCCAGCACATCCCTCTTACGTTTGGTGGCCCCATAGGGAGCTCCACCGAAGGCGACAGTGCCACCGCCCGCATGCGTCACCCACACCCATATCGGTACACCGCTCGCACGTTTCGGGGCCCCATAGGGAGCCCCACCGAAGGCACGCTTCGTAGCCTCATAGGGAGCTCACAACTGCATACGGTTGGGTCCTTTGCAGGGCTAATTCCCCATCATCATGTGGTGTTGGGTGCTCGTTTTGAAAGAGACAGCGCCCCGCATCATTCACCTTCCTTTCTCCTCCCCCCTCCTTCCTCCCTCCTCCCCCTCCTTGCCTCTGCCCTCATCAGTGTGCGTTTACCCCACCCTGTATTACAACGTTTCGTGGCCCCATAAGGAGCTCCACCGAAGACCCCAGTGGGACCACCCGCATGCGTTACCCCCACCCAGTGACCGAGAACAGCGCGTCGTGGCCTCATAGTGATCTCCACCGAAGGTCACAGTGACACCGCCCGCATGCGTCACCCCCACCCAGTACAGCGCTTCGTGGCCCCATAAGGAGCTCCACCGAAGGCCCCAGTGCCACCGCCCGCATGCGTCACCCCGATCCAGTACAGCGCTTCGTGGCCCCACAGGGAGCTTCACAGAAGGCCCCAGTGGCACTGCCCGCATGCGTCACCCCCACCCGGTACCGCGCTTCGTGGCCCCATAGGGAGCTCCACCGAAGGCCCCAGTGTCCGCCCGCATGCGCCCCCCCCACCCAGTACAGCGATTCGTGGCCCCATAGGGATCTCCACCAAAGGCCCAGTGTCACCGCCCGCATGCGACAGCGCTTGGTGGCCCGATAGGGAGTTCCACCGAAGGCCCCAGTGGCACTGCCCGCATGCGTCACCGCCACCCAATGCAGCGCTCGCTGCCCCGTAGGGAGCTCTACCGAAGGCAGTACAGCGCTTCGTGCCCCATAGGGGGCTCCACCGAAGGCCCCAGTGGAGATGTTCGCATGTGTCGCCCCCGCCCAGTACAGCGATTCGTGGCCCCATAGGGAGCTCCACCGAATGCCTAGGTGGCGGCTTTCGAATGCGTCGCCCTCATCCAGTACAGCGCTTCGTGGCCCCATAGGGAGCTCCACAGAAGGCCTCTGTGGCTGCTTTCGCAATGCGTCGTCCCCACCAGGTACAGGCTTCGTGGCCCATAGGGAGGTCCACCGAAGGCCCAAGTGGTGGCCCGCCCCATTGCGGCGCACCCTTCGCACGCTTTGCGGCACCACTGTGGGTCCCACAGAAAGCCCCGGTGGCAGCGCCCACATGGCGGCCCCGCCCCATGTCGGCACACCCTTCGCATGCTTCATGGCCCCATGAGGAGATCCCCCCAAGGCGATACCCGCAACGGCGGTATTCACAACTGCATATGTTTGGGTCTTTCGCCAGGATGATTGGTTCCTCTGACCATGGAGCCGTCGCAGGTCTGGACTTGCATGGACCCTCCCCTGGCGCACTGCTGAAAGAACTCCTTCGAATGATCCCCAGGCCGTCCAAGAGCTAGATGGAGGATCCAATCGCCTGAGCGTCTTTTCTGACGGAGTTTTCCAGGAACCTCCAGGAACTTCGGTAGACAATGCGGTCAGAGGATCGCGTCGCACCACCGATACATTGGCGATGCGGCGCGATGTAGAGTGCGAGTCGTTCAATCTCGACGTCGCCGATGCATGCTTTCGCCCCCCTCATGAGTTACTCGACTCTCCCTCAGTTTCCTCCTCGTCGGGTGTCCTACATTTGCTGCTGCTGCTGCCGCCGCCGCTGTTCCCGTTGCTGCTGCTGGTCTTCGCGCTCGTCCTCCACCGCTTGCCCTGCGCCGCCTCCCCGTCCAGACATCCGACGATATGTGTGTTTGTTCAATGCGTGGCCAGGCTTTCCGCCCAGATCCGTTTTTGATGGTCCTGGGGCCCGATGACGGGCCTTGGCGGCCGAGGTCGAGGAAAAACAACCCGATCGTTGAGATCTGGTTCCGTCCGGATTTCCTCCGCCTCAGCCTGTCCTCCCCCGCTGGCGAATTTGATGTTCTTTCTCATCCTCGTCCTCGTCATATGGGCGTCGCAGTGCGTCTGTGCCACAGCGGTAGCCTGTACCTGCAGCGTTTCTGGCCGCCCAGTAAGATCTGCTGATCATCCTTCACCATCGCAATATTGCACATGCAGCCATCGTGTTTCTATGTGGAAGGCTGAAGAAGGAACAACGCGGCTTTTCTGGCCACATCCAGCATCGGGCACGAATAGGACGACCTAGATCTAAGCAACGGCCAGGAGACCGGAGCCCACCCAGAGCCAAGCGTTCCTTCCTTCAGCATCTTGGCAGTATGGAACTCCTGGGAGGTCAAACTCAGCATCGCCGCTGATTTACGGTTGTCGAGAACCGATTGCCAGATTTGGCTTAGTTTTGGGCCTCATCCGGCGTTGTGGTCCCAACGTTGCAGAAGGGCGAGCCCCGCGCCCATCCTGAGACAGGGACAAGCCACTCCGAGGCTGCGCAGGCTGCCTGTGGCATCCCCCCCTTCGCCGGAGAGGCTCAGCCGCGAGAGCGTGGGCAGCTGCCGGCTGAGCGTCAGCGACATGGTGACGTGGGAGCCGGGCGACGAGGCCGAGATTGGCGGGGGGCTCGGAAGCGCGCGCTGCGCCGCGCGCGCGGCGGGAGATGAGGAGGGGGAGGAGAATACCGAGTACAGGACTCGCAAAGATCATACATGAGGTGATGCCTACGAGACGGCGCAAAGCACCGCTGGATGCGGCGGGGCATGTGATGCCTGCCCTCTGGTTTCGAGCGGGCCTGTGGTGCCTGAGCCGCGTGAGGCCGGGAAGGCGTATGGCGGCCTTCCGTGCCCACCCAGTTTCGCACGTACGGGCTTCGCCCTTCTTTCGACCCCTTATGGTGGGGAGGGGTAGGTGTGCGGACCGCCCTCGCCTGACACCGTGCGTATTGCGCCAGTGGTGGTGGTGATGTTCATTGAAGCCGATGAGCTCTATGCAATCTCCCCAATCCGTCCCCGCCCCCCACCGGGTCGTCTCCAAGGGAGGCCTAGGAGACCAGACCCCATTGGGTCGTGAACAGAACACGACGGACGGTTTTTGGCAAGTGTTTTTCGCTGGGGGCCCTTGCCGACCCACGGGGCCGTCAACAGACTACTCAGGATGAAAAACTGGCGCAACGTGTTGTGCCACAGCTTGAAAACAACGGGCTTCCAGATGTTTGCCACGAGGAGTGAAGGCGCCACGCGACAGTCGAGGCAGCTCTCGTACCGCTGGCGATGCCATATACGATGCGATGTGATGAAAAACCAGCCCGGGCATGCGTGCACGTGTCCATCTACAGGGGTACCAGGCCCCCGGGCCCAGGGGCCACGACCACTACCGCAGATGGAGGACCAGGGGCATCGCCAGCTTCTTGAGCGCTCCAGATCGGCCCCCAGAGCGCTCAGACGGCCCCGAGGAGCCTCGAGCGGCCCAGGACTGCCTCAAGACGCCCCCAGAGACGCTCAAGCCAGCTCAAGAGAATCCCAGGAGACCCTCCAGAAAGCCTCCATGAAGCCAGAAATCGCAAACACCTTAGAAGCAGCTATGCTTGTCGTCTCGGCGTTTTGCCTTCGATGGGCTGCCGAGGCCCCCCAAGGGGCCCCCGCGAGGCCCGAAGACATCCCGAGAGGCCTCCAGAGGTCTTATGAGGCATCCAAGAGGACCCGTAAGAGGTTGCAAAAAGGCCCCCGCGAAGCCCCCCAGAAACCTCAGATGGCCCCCACCAGCTCCCAAGAGTCTGTAGGAGGTCCCAAGAGACCCCAAGAGGCCTCACAAGGCCGTGTAAAAGACCCCCAGAGGCGCCCAAGAGGCCCCCACAAAAGCCCCGAGAGAGGCGCAACGAGGCTCTAGCTCGGAAGCTTCGGAACGGCCTCTGCGATTCCTGCAGGTTCTCGTGCCTTCGGGAGCTTTCGTGGGTTGCGACTTGTCGAGGGGTCTCTGGGGGATCGTGAGGCTGGAACGAGCAAGAGAACACAGTCGAGTTTGATTAGTAGGTCGACCCTGCCAAATCAAGGGTATCCTTGTGTCTGGTGTTTCGCGAACACTACCTTCTATATTCCTATGGCAGTGCGGCCCTCGGAATGGTCTTGTGTCCTCTCGCGTGCCCTCCCGAATTAAACTCTACTGAAAGCAGGCTGCATGGCGGAAGGGAGGGAGGGAGCAGAGAGAGATAGCACAAACATTAAGGGGGAGAAGCGAGGCGGAAGGCGTACGCGTGGCTGACCAGCATCGCGGCATCGGATGAGCTCCAGAGGTGAGGAGGAGGAGGAGGAGGAGGAGGAGGAGGAGGAGGAGGAAGAGGCTCTTTGGCACTGTTTGGAGCCCATCTCGGGGCGCTCTCGGGATCATCTTGGACTGCCCTTTGGACCTCTTGTGCGCCCTTCTGTGGGGCGCTCCTGGGATCTTCTTCGAGCGCCTTGTCGGTAAGTGTCTCTGTTCGGTCCGTGTTATTTCTTATCTACCCATGTTCAATTTCTGGTAGTTCCTGGCCTTGTATATGTGTGCGTGTGCATCTGTACGCTGTTTTGCGACTGGGCTTCAAGGCATGTAGATCCTGAGCGCGCGCGAAGCGCGCGAAGGTTCGGGTATGTATGTACGTTTGCCTTTGGACAAAGAAGTTGAGGCGACTCAGTAACTTCTTCCTCTTCGTGCCCTCCTGAAAGGCTTATCGGAGCTCTCGTGTGGCGCCTTGGGGGCCTCGTTGGTCGTCTTGAGGCCTACTGGGCCTGCCTTCGAGGCATCTTGGGGCCATCTGGAACCCTCTGCCAGGCCTTTGGGGAGCATCTGGGGGCGATCTTGGGCAATATTGGCGAACTGGGAGGTGAGTTTTGCTGGCTTCGTGGGGTCGGGTGATTTTCTGGTGGTTTTCGGGTGTCGTGAAGGTTGTGCCAGTGGCCACCGGGAACCCGTTGGACAGGCATACGCACACACATCAGATACTGGCATACAAACGTGCATTCATACACACAGAAATGTTGGCGTTGCGGCCACGCGCGCAGCGACGCGGCGGAGGCAGTCGGATACATAAAGGTACCCACACACCTCCGTAGCCCTGTTAGCTCAGGCCATTTAGGTGGAAGCCGCTTCCAGGATTCGCTTACACGTCTCAGCCAAAGTTGGCAACCCTCATGTCTGAGGAGGGTATACTGAAGCTGACCGTGAAGTCTCTATCCAACCTGTCAGATTCTTTCGAGGTTGAGATATCAGAAGACGAGACTGTGGAGTCACTTGTTGTATGCATCTTCTCCGTTCGGCCAGATCTGGGCGAGGAGCTGCGGATCGTGCACAGACAGCGCATTCTCAAGACAGAGACTGTGCTCAAAGATGCAGGAGTTCTCTCGGGTGATTTAGTGGTGGCCGCAAGAGCGGCGAAAGCCGCATGGCCCCCGGCGCCAGCAGCAGACGCGGCGAAGCAGGCCGAGGTTCCAGCGGCGTCTGCAGACGAGGCCAAGCCAGGGGCCGCACCAGCGGCGGAACCGCCGAAGGATGCGAAGGCAGTCGAGGCCCCCACGCCCCCAGCAGAGGAGGTGAAGCCAGCGGCAGCCCCAGAGCAGGCGGAGCCAGAAGCAGCCCTGGCGACGCCCACGGCTGAGGTGCAGCCTGCTGAGGCCCCACTGCCAGCAGCGGACGAAGCGACGCCCGCTGAGGCTCTGGCAACAGCCGCGGAGGAGGCGAAGCTGGAGGTTTCACTTGCAGCGCCCACCACCGAGGCGACGCCGGCTGATGCTGCAGAGGAGGCTCGGACGGGGCTGGGACGAGGATACATCAGTTCCAGAGCGTTCCGGAAAACTCTCAGAGCGTTCCGGACGCTCTGAGAATAGGCCGCAGCACCCGAGGCATCCTCCAGAGGCGGCGGATCTCAGAGATTCTCGATTTCTCATCAGCCGATGTTATCCTCGTCTTGGTTTCGTCTTAGAGGCGAAGCAGGCTAAGCAGGCCCAGGACGCGGACGCTGCTGGGATGGCCGCGCTCCCCGAGGAGGGCCCGCCCTCGGCCTCCATCCTGGAGCTGGCTCGGAGGCTCGAGGCTGGCCTGGGAGACGCGCACCCAGGAGAGGTCGCGGCCGCCCTGCGCCGCGCGGCGGCGCGCGTGGAAGCCCTCGAGGGCAGCCTGAGCGAGTTCGGCCGCGCGCTGCAGCTCACGCACATGCTCTCCGGGCAGGTCCTCCAGGGCTTCGGCGGCCTGTCCGGAGACGCCGGCCAGGCGCGTCCGCCGGGAGGCGGCGGCGGGCGCGAGGAGGAGGCCCCCCGGTCCTTCCTCGTCAAGAAGGGCGACGCCGAGCTGCAAGAGCAGCACCGCCAGGCCGCCGCCGTGCGCCCGTCGGGCCTCAGTCGCCAGACGTCCGGGGGGAGCTCCGGCGGCGGCGCCCTCTCGACCGCCGGCACGCCCATGACGAAGGAGGAGATGGACAGGGCGCGGAAGGCGCGCCTCGAGATGCTGGAGGCACAGCAGGCGGAGAAGAAGCGGGAGAAGGAGGAGGGCGAGTCGAAGTCGCGCGCCAGGGAGGCGATGTTCAATCCGCTGCCGCCCGGTCCCTCGAAGCCGCTGGGCAAGTTCTGAAGGACGGAGCTGCCGCAGCAGGCGCTGAGGCCTCTGGCGCGCTGCTTTTGGCCGTTCCCACGCTGGGAGGGCAGCCTCTGTACAAGGAGAGGGTGGCGGCAATTTGTTGTCCTGCCTTCTGTGTTTCCCCCTGTTGGGGCCGTTCCAGCGCGCTGATTTGCGCAAGCGCCCCTCGCACCATCGCCCCCCGCCCTCGAGTAGGGGATCAATTAACTACAGAATTGATTTGCCCCAGAATTGTTCCCTCGAGTCTACGAAGAAAATCGTGGAAGGTTCCGTAGATGTACGGAACAGCCTACTCATTATTTGCAGAAATCGACGGTCAAGTCATTTTTGGGATAAATCAATTATGTAGTCGATCCCCTACTCGACATCTCTTCCCTCCCTTCCGGGGGGGCTCCGTCTCTGTCCTACTCACATCCCTCGTTTCAAGTTTGAAGGGCCTTCTTTGAAATTGCCCACATGAAGCAAGAGCAGCCCAGAGAGTTCCTGGTCTGCCCGGTCGATGCGGCCACCGCAGGCAAAATAACATTTCTTGGCGAAGGGCCCAACTACATGCATCGGTGGCTACATGTAGCTACCGCAGTTGTTGGTATCGTCTTCGGTGGAGCTCCCCATTGGGCAAAGAAGCGTGTGACTGATGTGCCGAAATGGAAGGACCACCTGAACTGTGCCGCTGGGGCGTCCTATGGGACCACGAGACGCGCGAGGGGTGTGCCGACATGGGCGGTGAATCGGCTGTGCCAGTGGGACCTTCGGAGGAGCTCCCAATGGGGCCACGAACCGAGTGAGAGGCGCGCCGAAAAATGGGTGGGGCGGCCACGCGCGTATTGTGCCCGTGGGACCTTTGGTGCAGCTCCCCGTGCGGCCACGAAACATGCGAGGGGTCAGCCAACATGGGCGGGGCGGCAACATGCGGACTGTGGGGGCCACGAATCATGTGACTGATGCGCCGACATCGTCGGGGCCACATGCGGGCTGTGCCACTGCGACCTTCGGTGGGGCCGGGGGGGCCACGACACGTGTGAGGGTGGCTGGTAGGGCGGCCAGCCACAAGAGGACTGTGCTAGTGGGGCCGTCGGTGGATATCCTTGTTGGGCCACGAAGCTTGTTCCGGGTGTGCCGAAGTGGGTCGGGCGGCCACATGCGGATTGTGCCAGTGGGACTTTCGGTAAAGCTCCCTATGGGACCCTGAAGCTCGTGAGGGGTGTCCCGAAATGGGTGGGGCGGCCACATGCGGATTGTGCACGTGGGACCTTCGGTGGACCCCCCCTTGTGGGACAAGCAAGCTTGTGAGGGATGAGTCGACATGGGTGGGGCCAGTGGGACCTTCGGTGGAGCTCCCAATAGAGCCACGAAACGTGTAAGGGGTATGATGAATTGGGTGGGGCGGCGCCGCCATGCGACCGCAGCCACTGGGGCCTTCGCTCAGCGCCATTTGGTGCCACGCGCCAAAATGGAGGGTGGAACCGCGTGCGATCCCTGCCACTGGGGCATGTGGTGGAGTTTCCAACGGAACCGCGAAACGTGTGTGAGAGGGTGCGCCGAAATGGGGTGTGGAAGTTGCATGCCGGCCTTGCCACTGTAGCTTTCGGTGGGGCTCCCTGTGGAGTCACGAAGCGTGCAAGGGGTGCGCCGACATTGGGGAGTAGAACCGCATGCGGACCTTGCCATTTGGGCCTGAGTTGTAGTTCTCTGTTGAACCACGAGGCGTGTGAGGGGGTGCTCCTAAATGGGGTGTGGAGCTGTATGCGGACCCTACCGCTGGTGTCTTCGTTGAAGCTCCCCATGGGGCAACGGGACGTGCGAGAGGTACGCCAAAATGGAGGGTGGAACTGCATGCGGACCTTGCCATTGGTGCCTTCGGTTGAGCCCCCGATGGGGCCACAAAACATGTGAGGGATGTGCCAGCATGAGTGCGCCGCCGCCATGCAAAAACCTGCCGCTGCGGCCTTCGGTGAAGCTCCTTGCGGGGCCTTCGGGTAGGAGGGGGCGGGATACAAATGTTTGATGATTTGGTGGTAACGGTGATGAAGATGAAGATGAAGATCCGACGATGACGATGATGTTGATGATGGTGATGATCATGCTTATGATGATATTGACGATGACGATGGCGATGACGATGTTGGTGATGTTGGTGATGATGATGATGATGATGATGATGATGATGATGGTGGTGGTGGTGATGATGATGATGATGATGCTGATGATGATGATGATACTGGTGAATATGATGACGGCGATGATGGTTAGGGCGATGGTGATGGTAAGGGTGATGCTGTTGATGGTGATGTTGGTGATGATAACGATGATGATGATGATGATGATGATGATGATGATGATGATGATGATGATGATGATGATGATGATGATGATGATGCGGATGTTGATGATGATCCTGGTGATTGTGGTGGTGATCATATTGATGATCGATGTTGCTGATGATGGCGATTGAGATGGTCATGGGATGGTAGCGATGCTGACACTGACGATGAGGAAATTGGGAGGGCAGCGGCAAAGATGAGATAAGGGAGGTGGGGTTGGAAGCGGGAGGAAAGAATGATTAGATGCGGGCATTGTCTCTTCAACACGAGGACCCAACACCACAGGATGGTTGGGACAACACGCGTGCACGCATGAATACAACTATACATGTATAGCGTTGCACTTATTTATAGATTCCCCAATCGTGCTTGCACTTAGGGGTTATAATTTAAGGAACTCGGCCGTGTCTTAGGTCTGGCGGCTATGTGGCCGCCGTCGCCGCCCCGTCGCCGCCTCGTTGCCGCCCGTCGTCTGGGCCGTGTCGTCGGTCTGGCGGCTATGTGGCCGCTGTCGCCGCCCCGTCGCCGCCTCGTCGCCGCCCGTCGTCTGCATCTGTCTGTCGGTCTGGCGGCTATGTGGCCGCCGTCGCCGCCTCGCCGTAGGAATAGGAATTAGGATTAACCCCTTCCGTCTGAGGTTCTCGGCACCCCCTGGAGACGTGCAATTTCTATGTGATTTTGCCCCACGTGCATTTTAGAGATGAACTCATACCATCCCAGCCCAGCCCGTATTGACCGCCCCCTTCATCCCTTGCCAAAAATTCAGCGCGCGTGCACCCTGTATACCAATAGCTATCAATGTTCAAGAACCCCTTGCAAAAGTGGCGACGAAATGCGCACGCCCCGTCGTCGCGCGCGCATTCCGCAATCCTTCGAACGGAAAAGCTTTGGGTTGCGTAGGGATATCAAAATTGAGCGTCCCAGAACAGTGAACTCATCAAACATGATTTGGTAACATGAGTGTTCAAATCAATATTTGCGCGCGCGTCCGGGTTGTTCTACATGTTCATCAAGTGCGTCCAATTGGGCCTTTCGCGCGCGCATGTCGAAATCATCCAGCAGCTCTTGCTCGCGTGCTGGATGGGCACGATCCCTGTCAAATAACACCATGCGGGCCACTCGCGCGCGTCGGCCGCGCGCGTATGTCGAATCCCTTCCAAAACCTTCATCACCGACGCGCTGGCACGATTATCGTCATTTGCGAGATCAGCATCGGCGCCGTCATTGACCTTGCCGTCGTCATCGCCATCATCGTCACCACCATGCATCTCTTTTATCATCATCGTGCTTACCGTTGTTGACATCGCCATGACACCGCGACTGCCCGAGTCACCGACTCGCACTGAAGCGGCCGTTGGGAAATGCCCAGTGGTCAGCGTCACATCGGCCGCGTAGGTCGAGCCAAGCTAGCTGACCGCTGTGCGCGCGAGCATGCGCGGTCTATCGCGGCTGCAGCGACGCACCAGCCAGCACCAAGCACTCGTCACAATCGCCGCCGCATGGGCTTTGCAACCCAGGGTGCGGGTGGGTGGGTAGGATGATTGCGCGAGAACTGGAGATGACAACTCTCGAAGTTTTGACTTATGAATTGCGCACCATAGATTGCGCCACATATATTGCACCATGTAGGCTGAAACGTGTACGCTGTACCAAATAGTTTGCACAACATGTATCGGAGTGTGGGGGGTAAGATCGCAGTGGAATGGAGACCCCCAACCGGGAAATCGTTTCCAGTCGTTCGTGTCGTGCGTGCGGGCGAGGCGAAGCTGCGTGGGCACGCGAGAGGGATGAACACGCCGTTGTTAGGGCGAAGTGAAGACAAAGGATTATCCCCCGCCCGCCCGTCCGTCCGTCCGTCTGGCGGTGGGTCGCGGTGTCCCGCGGTGTCCCGTGGTGTCCCGTGGTGTCCGCCGTTGCTAGGGCGAAGTCAAGACAAGTGATTTTCCCCCGCCCGTCCGTCCGTCCGTCTGGCAGTGGCTCGCGGTGTCCCGTGGTGTCCCGGAGTGTACCGTGGTGTCCCGTTGAGTGAGATCGACAGTGAGATCGATAGTGAGATCGATATTGAGATCGATGTTGAGATCGATGAGGTGACCCGAGGTGTCCCGTGGTGTCCTATGGTGTCCCGTTGAGTGAGATCGATCGTGAGATCGATAGTGAGACCGATGATGAGATCGAGAGGTGTTCCGCGGTGTCCCGTGGTGTCCCGTGGTTGCCCGTGGTGTCCCGTGGTGTCCCGTTGAGTGAGATCGATGGTGAGATCGATAGTGAGATCGACAAGCGTCCCGTGGTGTCCCGTGGTGTTTCGTGGTGTCCCGTTGAGTGAGATCGGCAGTGAGATCGATTGAGTCAGATGTTGGTTCCCCCCCTCTCCGCCCCCCCACAACCTCCTGATCACCCGAAGGGCTGTCGTATAGGTGTGTATATATATATATAGATATATTCTGATCAAATTTGGGTCACTCTGCAGTCCCTTGGAGCCAGGGGGACCCCATTTTGTTAAGTAGACTCCTGGGGGCAATGATGCATCCACGAACAACAATCCCACTAAGTGGGATAGCGGCTATGCACTGTACGTAGACATGGTGGCTCATGCAGTGGTGAGCCCAAGCTATGGCTTAGCAAAACATCTCATCATGGTAGCGTGAGGCTGCTGTGACGATCCACGGCTCGAGCGCGCGAGCCATTGCTGGACTCGGCTGCGGGTAGCTCCGCGCTGAGTCGCCGCGATTGGACTGCGGGTAGCTCCGCGTCCGACGGCGGCAGTCACCGGCGCTGCGGGAGGCAGCGCAAGGCAGTGCACGGTTGTGCATGCCCTCGAAGCGCGGTACGCGCTCGAAGAAGTCGTTCAACAAGCGTGAGCGGCGTGGCCAGTTGTTACGAGTTGGACTCGTCAACTTGGCGGTAGGCCATGGAGCAGTTGGCTCAACAAATCGCCGCGCTCCAGCAGCAGCAGGCGCAGACGGCGGCAACACACCGGCAGGAGATGCAGCAGCTCGCGACGCAGCTCGCCGACGCCCGCCGCGAGACGCAGGCCGCGGTCCTCCAGATCACGGAGGCGAGGCGCCAGGAGGAGCAGGCCAACAACGACAGGAGGGCGACCCTGGAGTTGGCCCTCCGCGTCGCGAACCGCGGCGGGAACGAGATCATCGACGCGAAGGGAGTAGGACAGCCAGGAAAGTTTTCCGGGAAGGAAGAGAGCGAGTTCCAGGAGTGGGCGCACAAGGTCGTGTGCTTCATGTCGGCGAAGTTCGGCCCGGACTTCACTGCTGCCCTGAAGTGGGCGTCGTCCCAGCGGAAGAAGATCACGAACGACGGGGACGGGGACAGCGTGAACTTCATGGACGCCTTCGGCGAGGACATCGTGGACTTGGAGGCGAAGGCGGCCAACCTGTACACGTACCTCGTGTCGTTCACGACGCACAGCGCCAACAAGGTCGTCAGGAACGCCGGGCAGCACCAAGGGCTAGAAGCCTGGCGCCGTCTCCACGCCGAGTACGACCCCACGTCGGCGATGCGCCAGGTCGTGATTCTCGGCAAGGTGCAGAACCCAGACAAAGTGGAGAGCATCGACAAGCTCGGGCAGGCTCTCGAGGACTGGCTGATGAGGAAGCGCCAGTACGAAGAGTTCACGGACCGAGACGGGCAGCCGTGCAAGGTCAGCGAGGACTCCCTGATTGCCGCCATGTACAGGTTGGCGCCGGCGGACCTGGAGACGCAGTTGATGTTCAACGCTGCGGAGGACGAGACCTTCGCGGACATCTTCAACAGGCTGAGCAGCTACGCCTCGACCAAGCACTCCCTGAAGTTGGACGCCAAGCAGAAGAACACGAGGCGAGGCCCGGACGACATGGACGTCGGCGCGCTGACCCCGCAGCATCGGCCGGGCTCCAGTGCTGGAAGTGCAGCAAAATGGGTCATTACGGCAAGGATTGCAGGAGCGGCGGCAAGAGCCTCGGCAAGAAGGGAGGCAAAGGCGACGGTAAATCCGGAGGTAAGCCGGACGGCAAGTCTGGAGGAGCCAGAGGAGGAGGAGGAAGGGACCCCAGGAGCCAGCAGCCCAGGTACGGATCAGGATGCTGGACGTGCGGCGGCAACCACAAGCAGGTGGACTGCAGGTACCAGTCAGGATGAGGAGGTCGAGGAGCCCCAGGAGGAGGAACACCAGGGCAGCCTAAGGGCAAGGCGGCCGGCGGCAAGGGAGGCCCCAAGGGCAGGGGCGGCAAGACCATGAGCTCGCTCGACGACTGGCCGGCTGACGTCCCGATGCCCTGGTGGAACCAGTCCTCCGCCACCGAGCCGGAGGCGGAGCAGAACGGCCTCGACATCAGCGGGATCGACGATAAGAAGAGATCAATGTCATCATTGTCACCTTCCCCCTCCAGACCTCCATATCGGATCCGGACTGGGAGCGACGAGTGGCTGCGCATCAACTACGATACGGGCGCGGCCACTACTGCGTTTCCCTTGGAGTTCGGCGACGAGCTGAACTTGCAGAAGAAGGGCGAGTTCCGGGTGGCTTCCGGCGACGTGATTCCGGACTTGGCCGCGTCCGGGTGCCAGGCATTGACGAGCATGGCAACCAGAGGGGCATCTCGGGTGCCGTCACTGCGGTGCACAAGCCGCTCGGGTCGGCCGCGGAGGTGTCCAAGGGCCACGACTCCTTCATCTGGCACAACGGCGGCGCGCTGGTGCCTAAGCACCACCCGGTGGCAGTGGGCATGCGGCGTGCCTTCAACGAGCTGACCCGGTATTACGGCAGGGAGGAGATCTTGCCGCTGTACCGTGAGGGCCAGCTCTACAACTTCTACATCAAGCAGAACGGGAAGCCGGTCAGCGTGGCCGGCATCGAATCGACATCGTCATCATCGCCTTGGAGGCCGTCGGCTAGCTCTTCGGATTTTCCGGGGCAGGCCTCTCGGCCGTTAGTCCGGTGGTGGATCAGGTCAAACACGACGGCATCATCTTGGCGCCGCTCGAGAACCCGATCGCGGGCACCACCTACGAGGACGACTGGAAGCAGGACGGCATCATGAAGGAGACCACCCGGTTGTACGACGGCCGAGTGGAGTTCGAGAGGACCGACGGCGAGTGGAGGTCCTTCGAGGTGAAGCGGGGCGGCTACACGCAGAGCCCGCTGGGCATGGACCCGGACCCCAATCGGTGGACGGGTCGGCGCAAGACTGTGGTCACGGCGGTCTGGGAGAGATCCGCTGGCCCACAGATGTCCGCGACTGCAGCGCAGCAGCTGGCAGACGACTGGCAGGCGGCTCAGGATCCGAACATCATCGAGGAATTCAAGAGGGTGCGGGCCGCGCGAGGCCCGACCCGGGCTCAAAAGGAGGAGCACGAGGAGCAGAATCATGCGGTGTACCGGTCGTGGTGCCCCGTCTGCCGGGTTGCCAGGGCGACCGGCACGCAGCACCGCGTTGAGGTAGAGAGGAGCGCGGACGAGGAGAAGGAAGGCCCACGCATTTACAGCGACTACTTCTTCATGAGCACGGACGAGACCTCGGCCCCGCACCTGATCATCAAGAGTTCGAGGTCAGGGCGACTTTATGCTACTTCGATTCCGGCGAAAGGCGTGGCTGAGTACAGCGTGAGGTTCTTCGGCAACACGGTGCACGGGACCGGCCTCAAGAAGTACATCAACCACAGCGACAACGAGCCGGCGCTGGTTGCGCTGAAGGAGGCGGCAGCGAAATCTTGCCCATCAGCGGAGGCCATTCCGAGGTCGGCGCCTGTGGGAGACCACCAGGCCAACGGCAGCATCGAGGTGGGCGCGCGCGAGGTCAAGCGCCAAATGCGTGCAACACGCCTGGCGTTGGAGCAGAAGCTGGGGCACAAGCTGAACGAGAGCGACCCTATGCTGAGCTGGATCGCGGGCTTCGCGGCCGACACCATCGCGAAGTACCGCAGGGGCAGCGACGGCAAGACCCCGTATGAGCGGGAGACGGGGCGGAAGTGGAAGAAGCCGAGCATCCAGTTCGGCGAGAAGATTGCCCTCAAGGTGGCACGAGAACGAGTTGGACGACCTAAACGTGATTGGGAGCCGGTGACGGTGGACGCGCGCTACATCGGCGACCATGCGCGGACTGGAGCAGTATTGGGTCTCAGCTCTGACGGCGTGGTGCAGGGCATGGCATTTACACGCCTGCCGGCTGCTGAGAGGTGGAGCTACGCTGGCTGGGATCAACTGCGAGGAGTACCATGGGATGTACAGGCGCCACGGGACGCAGCACCCGAAGGCGGCGCGGAGCCGGCAGCGGCCGTGCCGGTACCGGTCGCTCCGCCGGCGGTGCCCGATGTGGTGGCACCGAGAGCGTTCTACGTACGCAAGAAGGACGTGCTTAAGTATGGGCTCACGGCGGGATGCCCAGGGTGCCAGGCACTGGCACGAGGCGCTGGCGCGCAGACGCACGACGCGGCGTGCCGGAAGCGCATCATGGAGCAGGTGGAGAAGGACGACGAGAGGAGGATCTCGGCGTTCCGAGAACGTGTGGAAGCTCAGCGACAGGAGGCTGGAGCTCAAGCGGGCCCTGGACTAGGACAGGCACAGGCCGATCCAGGCCAAAATCTCCAGAGGCCTCCGGGGGCTGCGGGTAGCTCCGCGCCTGCGGAGGCACAGGCCGATCCAGGCCAAAATCTCCGGGGGCCTCCGGCTGCGGGTAACGCCGCGCTTCCGGCGGCCCAGCAGGGTGCTTCGGACTCGCCGAGGGTCAAGAGGAGTGGAAGCGATGCCGGATCGCCACCGAAGGTGGCGAAGTGGACGGACACGGGAGGCGGCCGATATAAGCGGAAGGCCGACGACCCAGGCGACGAGGAGCGCTTGGAGGAGAGGCCAGGGACGGGCGGTTCGCCGGGGAGCGGAGGCCCCGGCCAGGATGCTCCGGCTAGCGAGCTTATCGTGCTCCCTCCGGAGGTGAGCCCGTCAGGTATGACCGACGTGGAGCAGGCGGTCCAGTCCACGACGCAGGACGTGGAGGTAGACTCGCTGGACGTCGCGGTGGAAGATGAGCGATGAGAAGATCGGCCTGGCCGAGGAGATGGCAGTTGGGTTGGAGACCTGGCTGCGAGACGCTGGCGAGGAGTACCGGACCAGCGATGTGAGAGACTTCTGCAGGGTAGCTGTGGAGCTGGGCGCAGTGGACATGATCGAGACCTACGCCCCTGTGCGCTTCGCGGCAATGGCGCAGAAGTATGGGCTCCGTCCAGGTTTCGCCATGGACCTGAGCGAGAACAAGCCAGGGTCGTACGATTGTTGGGACATGGAGAAGGATGAGGACGTGAAGGAGCTGGAGGACCGAGTGGACCAGGAGGGGCCGCACGTACGAATGGGGAGCCCGCCGTACTTGACTACGGCGGCGGGCTTCTACTGGCGGCAACTTCGCGCCGGTAGGTATTTCCTGCGCGAACATCCGGCAGGAGCGGACTCATGGAAGGAGGATTGCATCGTAAGGGTCAGGAGCGAGCCGGGGGTCTACACGGTGGAGGGCCCCATGTGCTGCTACGACATGAAGCCGGAGAGTTTCGAGAAGGTCAGCGGCGAGCGTCACGTTTTGATGCAGACCAGGTGGATGACCAACTCGGAGGAGCTGGCCAAGGCGTTGGATCGATGGTGTGCTAACCGGACTGGTGGGCCGTACCACGTCCACATGCAGGTGATTGGCGGCGTGGCGAAGCAGACAGCAGCGGATCCCGTGCGACTCGCTCGCACTATCGCGAGGGCCCTGAAGGAGCAGGTGCGGCGAGATCGAGACGTTAGCGCTGTAGAGTTGGCAGCTGCGGGACCTACACCTACGGAGCCGCACTATCCAGTCGACGACCTGGGCTCGAAGGAGATCGAGAAGATGGTAGAGTTTTACGAGGAGACCCGGGACAACATCACAAGCGAGATACTTCCCCCGGAGTTGGTAAAGGAGGCTAGGAAGAAGGATATTGATTGGGTTCGCAACGTCAAGTTGTACGACAAGGTACCGAGGAGCGAGATGGAATCCAGAGGATTCTAGACAGTGAGTACACGGTGGGCTGACGTGAACAAGGGCGATAAGGACAATTACAACGTGCGCTCGAGGATCTGCGGTCGCGAGCTGAAGGCAAAGACCAAAGACCAGCTGCTGGCGCACGAGCTTTTTAGCGCGATGCCACCGTGGGAGGCTATCAAGGCCTTGTTCTCTCTCTTGGTCACCGACGGCTCCGTGGATGACACCGCGGACCCAGAGATCGCCATCTTCGACATCAGCCGCGCGCATTTCATGGCGCCGGCGAAGCGTGAGCTATACATCGACATTCCCGCGGAAGATCGAGAACCAGGTGACGACCACATGGTCGGAAGGCTCAATCGCAGCATGTATGGGTTCCGCGATGCCAGTTGTAATTGGATGGATGATTGGCAGCAGTTGCTGGAGGCGGACGGGTTCGAGATCGGAGTGGCGAACCCGGCGTTGTTCCTTCATCGAGGTTTGGTTTTACGTGATGGAGTGCATGGTGATGATTTCGTGGTTTTGGGTCCTCGTTTGGGACTTGATCAGATCGGCGCCACTTTGGCGTCGAAGTATTCCGCGCGGGAGAGCCGCAGGCTAGGCTTCGCGGACCACTGCGCGAAGGAGGCGACGGTGCTGAACAGAGTCATCAGGGTTGGCTATAACCAGGACGGCCGCAAGCACGTTGAGATCGAGCCGGACGCTAGGCACTCGGAGCTCATCGTGCAGGCGCTGGGGCTCGGCAAGGGCAATGGCGTGAAGACGCCAAGCGTCAAGCCGACCGATGCGGACATTGAGCGGCATCGGAGGTCACCGCCACTTTCCTCGACGGCAGCTTCGACATTCAGATCGGCTGTGATGCGCGCGAGTTCTCTCGCGCAGGACCGGCATGACATCGGCGAGGCTGCGAAGACGTTAGCACAGAGGATGGCCAAGCCAACGGAGGAGGCCATGCAGGAGTTGAAGCGATTGGGACGATACTTGGTGCATCGGCCGTACGTGAGCCTCATCTACGACCAGCAGCGCATGCCAGACCACATCCTCGCGCCCGTCGACAGCGACCACGCGGCGGACAGGCTGACCCGGAAGAGCGTCAGCGGCATGGTCATCAGGATGGGGCGGCACGTGATCAAGGGCAGCTCCAGCATTCAGTCGGCACTCGGACTGAATGTTGGCGAAGCGGAATTCTATGCATTGGTGCATGGGGGAGCCCATGGACTGGGTATGCAGAGTTTCATGCGTGACCTCGTGGTGGAGTTGGACGTGGTCGTGGAGTCCGACTCCACGTCGGCCAAGTCCTTCGCGTCCCGGAAGGGCTTGGGCAAGCAGCGGCACGCGCAGACGCGGTACTTGTGGATCCAGGACCGCGTCCGCAAGAACCACCTGAAGATTCAGAAGGTGCCGGGGAAGCATAACGCGTCCGACATTCTCACCAAGAGCGCTCCAGCGGCTGAGCTGGACAGGCACATGGGCGTGATGAACCTTGTCGCCACGACCAGAGGTAAGAAACACAAGAGGCTCTGAGGAGGAGCTCGCTGGCAGCGGGTAGCCCCGCGCCGGCATAACGAGGGGGGGGGATGCGAGCTAGAAGGCAGCGGCCAGCCCCGCGCTTCTATGGCTCAGGCGGCGCTGGCGCGACCAGCGCAACGGTCCTTGCTGCGGTGAGCTCCGGGCTGCGGACGAGAATCGTTTTTTCTTAGGACAAAGGTCCGAGGCCACACTCCGCTACCTAGAGCTTTGGAGGACATGGAGGTTTAAGATGCCTCCTGCGTCCTAGGAGGAGTGATCAAATTTGGGTCACTCTGCAGTCCCTTGGAGCCAGGGGGACCCCATTTTGTTAAGTAGACTCCTGGGGGCAATGATGCATCCACGAACAACAATCCCACTAAGTGGGATAGCGGCTATGCACTGTACGTAGACATGGTGGCTCATGCAGTGGTGAGCCCAAGCTATGGCTTAGCAAAACATCTCATCATATTCACCACATGGATTGCGCAAGTGAAATTGCAGCAGTAATGAGACGAAGTGCACGCGCGCGCGTCTTCGCGCCTCCATGCCGAAATCCTGCCAAAATCAAAAGTTCCACAGAAAGTTCAACACCCAGGGCCCCGAACACATGTAACAAACACATGGCTTTGAAACGTGACAAAAGGACAGCGCTCACACCTTCGAACTTTTAAGAAATCCATGTGGTTCTCCAACATGCCATCAACTTCGACCAAACGTGCATCTCGCGTGCGCATGTCGGAATCATCCGAACTTCCTGGCACGCGTGCGTGCGGGGGGAGTCACGACCCATGGCATCTGATACAATGTGGGCCACTCGCGCCCGTCGGCCGCGCGCGCGCATGTCGAATGTTGCTTCAACCTTCATCGACGACGCGTGGACACCATCATCGTCGCCGGCGTGATCAGCGTCGGCGCCGTTCTTTGCCGTGCCGTCGTCATCGCCATTCTCGCCACAAGCATCGTTACAGTCATCATTGTGTCTGCCGTTGTCGACGCCGACATGAAAACGCACCCCCCCGAGTCACTGATTCGCGCGACTTGCCCGTGCGTCAACGCGGTCTGCGAGACGCGTTGGGTTCGCGTCTGTCGCGCCAGTCTAGATGGCCGCTTTTCGCGCGCGCCAGCGCAGCGCGGCCGCAGCGATGCGCCAGCCAGGGCCAAGCAGTCATCGCAATCGCCGCAGCATGGGTTTCGCAAACCAAATTGCACGCGGCCGGGTGGGATTGTCAACCCACTGCGAACGAACAATATCTGCACCACATAGGTAGCGCCAGACATATATAATGAACAACGTAAAGTTCGCCATGTAGCTACACAGTTTAGGCTGCACCAACTAGCTTGTAATGCACCGAGTAGCTCGCACAATATACGTTGGTACGATTAGATTGCACCACGTGGGCTCTATTACTTATATTGACCACCTAGCTTACACGACCTATGTCGCGCCGCATACATTGCACCACGTAGCATGCATAACACATCTTGCATTACGTAACACAGGTTCTCTTCTCATTATTTGAAGTGGGACCCCCCGGAATTATCTGTTCGTGTGTTGAAACTGCCATTTACCGTGTTTCCGGTTTCTCGTCATACTATCCCAGTCCGGCTGGTACCGATTCGCCCCGTCATCCCTTGCAGTTATTCGTGCGCGCTCGTGCGTCACTATCAGCAGCTGTGATAAATTATTGCCAAAGCAACCAAACTGCGTACGAGCACGTCGTCGGGCGCGCATGCCGGAATATTTCAACTTCGAGTGCCCCGAGGTCATAGAACAACCCATGGTTTCGCAACCCGACTTTCAAACAAAGGTTTGGGCGCTAATGCGGAATCTTAAGACAACAATTGGTTCTTCCATTTCCTTACGAAATTCCTCCGGCTTGTTCTACATGTTCGTCAAGTGCGTCCAAATGGACCTCTCGTGCGTGCATGCAGGAATCATTCGACAACCCTTGCGCGCGTGCTGTGGGTGGGGCACGATCTTTGTCGGATTATACAATGTGGGCCACTCGCGCATGTCGAAATCCTTCCACAACCTTTATCATCGACACGTGGACATCATCATCGTCATCGGCCTTATCGGCATCGGCGCCGTCATTTGCCTTGTCGTCGTCGGCGTCATCGTCGTCACAAGCACCGCTACAGTCGTCCTCGCGGCTGCCCTTGTCGACGTCGCCATAATACCGCGCCCGCCCGAGGCACCGACTCGCAATGCAATGAAGTGCCCGCGCGTCCGCGCGGTCTGCGAAACGCGCTGGGGAGCCCCCCAGCGGTCAGCGCCACCGCGGCCGCGCCGATCGCGCGCGAGCCTGCTTGCGCCAGCGCGGCCGTAGCGATGCTGGGGGATCCCTTCTCTGATGAGCACGGTGGTGCCATCCACAGCCAATCCACGATTGGATTTTCACAAGCTTTCAGACCCAGTATCCCTTAACCCACCACGACCACATAGAAAAGCATCCAGAAGGACGTGTGAGCGGATGAGCGCGCGATTTGCAACCCTTCGGCGATTACGGAAACACGGGTGTGAATCCGAAAATTGAGTGCCCGAGTGTGAAGCAGAATCCGTGTTGCGAGACAGGAGGAGGAACGGGAGGAAGAGGAGGAGGAGGAGGAGGAGGAGGAGGAGGAGGAGGAGGTGGAGGGACGAGGAGGAGGAGGAGGAAGACGTTCCGCCCCTCAGCTTCGCCAGTCGTCTTGTTACCATACTTACTTGCCGCGTTCCATTAAGTCGGAGCCATATTTGCTTCATCCGAAGATCGCTACAATGTGACGGTTAAGTTTCGCCGAACGCGACGGAAAGACGTTCCAATTGTTCCCCACCCAATGGTTACTTCTCCATAGTCCAGCCCGTCCCCGGACTTCCGGCGGCCTGACGTCGTAGATCAACGCTGCTCCGGAGCTTCAGACCTCAACGCGAGGCCCGAAGTGGGCACCCGGAGTCTCCGAAGGGTGTCGGAGGTTGCCAAGAGGTTTCTTAGAGTTGCAGCGGGATTCGACCTCGGCAGTGAGATCCGCCCCCTGCCCTCGCCGATCAACGATTCAGGCATCTCGATGGGCGGCAGGGGCATGATTCGAAGTTCGTCGAACCCACTGCGAAATCCGAACCCTACCCGCGCCTCCCGTCGATTCAGGAGAATCGATGGTTGGTGGATGCAGGGTTCCGATGTCGCCACCTACTGGGCAGGGATAAATCGCTTCAAAGTGTTGCGGAACGCTCGCGGAGCGTTCTGGGACGCTGTGAGAGGGCCGCTGCGCCCCACGCATCCTTCAGAACCGCCGGATCGCAGAAATCCCCGATTCATCCTTGTCCGATGTTGTCCCTACCCTGGCTTCGTCTTACAATCAACCCGCAAAGTAAGGAGGAACAATTTTCCGAGGTGACCCTTGCATCCTTTTCCTTCTGCCCATCCTTGGCTGCTTTTGCTGGCAGCGCCCCGCTCTCAAAGTGTCGACCTGGCCTTCCACGGCCCTTCCCTCTCGTGCGTCCCTATTATGCGGGCCGACTGTGTCCCTGCCCGATGTTGTCCGTGCCCTGGCTTCGCCTTCCCAGCGCTGAGCGGAGAGGGCGCGAGGGCCTCAACAAAAAGAGGCCCCGCGTGGAATGCCCCCCGCCCCGCCCCCTCCCCAGCGCGCGCCGCCACGGTGCGCTCTGAAGGGCGGGGCCCGAGAGGAGGCTCCGTTCGGACGGGGCTCTAGGACGAAGATCAATCCCCTCCAGGGCGTTCCAGAGCACTCTCAGAGCGTTCTGGGGCGCTCTGAGAATTTGGAGTCCCGAAACGGTGCGGTGACAGACCGTGCGGTGACCTCGGAACCCCAAGAGACCTCACCGTACGTTCCGTCACCGCACGGTCTTGGGACCCCGGAGGCCCCCGTCGCCCGAGACGTCCTCGGAGAAGGACTCGAGTCCCAAAACCGTGCGGTGACTCCGAATCCCCACCGACTCACCGCACGGTGTGGTCACCGCACCGTTTGGGGGCCCCCGAGAGAAGGCCGCGGCGCCCGAGACATCATCTAGAGCCGCTGGATCTCAGAGATGCCCGATTTATCCTCACCCGGCTTTTTTCTCATCCTGGCTTCGTCTTAGGATTTGCTCGCTGTGCCCGGCTTCGTGGGGCCAATGTCTTGCTCCAGGAGAGTCAGCACACAATCCGGGATGAGGGCCCCGTACACATCGAAGAGCAAAAAAACACTGCAAGCATGATGCCTCGGAAGCCCGCGATCGGAGCCCCTGGGGGTGTTTTCTCGTCCCGCACCCGAGTTTGACCTCCTTGGGGCCCGACTGCGCGCTCCAGAGGCCGACATCGAGATCACACCCTCGGATGTCTGGGTCGGCGGATCGAGGAGTTGATCCCAGAGTCGAGTTGGCCACGCGGTGCTCGGGGCCCTCGGCCGCAGCAGCGCTCGTCTTCACGTCGGCTCGCGGCGTGGGCCGTGCTCTCCGTGGCCCCCCTGGGGCTCGGGCCGAAGCCGAGGGACGCGGGTTCCAAAGGGTTTGGGTCCCAAACGACCGAGATCTCCGACGATGCGATTTGTTCAATCCAGACGTTTTCCATCGATTTCGGCATCCGAGGCCTGTTGCAGTGAAGACGCAGGCATCAGAGCCGCTGTGCGCTCAGGAGAGGCTCTGGTTTCTCTGACCGTTCCTCGGGTCCAGGTCGGGGGACTTCTTCGTGGCTGAGGCTCGCCGTGGCCATACAGCCCCTTCGTTCCTTGTTTGGCGCTCCTTCTGGCAGCACGCGGCTGCATCGGGCCTGGGGAGCATCAAAAATTGTTCTGGGGCGAAAATTTGGTCCTGGGGAAGGGGTCGGGCCCTCTTTGGCCCCACATTGGAATAATCATATCTTCGGGTCCCAGATGAAACGAAATCAGAGGAGGGCGCCGCCCTGGGTTGCCATCGGGAAGGGCCTCCGGTGCCTAACAAGCCAAGGCGAGGGCTGCGTCCACACGCCGGCCTCGTCCGAGTTCTCCGAGAACCCGTCGTCTCCGGGCCTGGACGACTCCAAGGACCGCGGGGGTCCGCGCGTCTGCTCGCCCACGCGGCGAGCGCGCAGTGTGCTTGCTCGGGCTGCTCTCCTCCTTCCGGCTGCGGGGTGCTCAGGCAAGGCTGCGCGTGCGGGTAGGGCGGAGGCGTCTCGGCGAGGTGGGGGAGGGGAGGTCAGGACGATCGAAATGGGTTCGGAACAATGGGGTACAAAGACCGACTGAGTTTCCTGTTCATTTTGAACCGGACTCGCTGTCGGAGCCGCCGCCAGCGTTGACCGTTTGGGACAGAAGGCCGACTGCCGAACAGCGGCCGCTCTTGGTCTTGGCCACCATATGTGGTTGGGCATCGTACCCCATGTTTCCATACCCACTGCGGGCTTAGAAAGAGAGGCGGATGAGAGGAGCCCAGCGTTGCTCGCGTAGTGCTCGCGTCGTGCAGAAAGGCACGACTGGAGGTTTCGGGCCGTTTGAGGCCTCCAGTGGCCCTCGCCGGGCCCCGGGACCGTCGAAGAACGGCTCGGGATGGAAAAGAATTGTCGGGATATCCGAAGACCCCGTGTTGCACAAATCAAAGCATTGAATGTCTGGGAGCATGGGCGGGAGGGGGGGAGGCAGAAAGTACGCAGCCATACCGGTGGTTCAGGGGCGGGGGGGACCTTCTGATTCGTCTGCTTTGTTATGGAACACATAATATATATATATATATATATATATATATATATATATATATATATATACATACATACATACATACATACATATGTGTGAAAAGGAGAGTATCGAAACTCAGACTGGGCCCCTGGCCCCCGAACTGCAACTACAACGGCTCCCGCTCAAGTTCGCCTGACAATGTTTAAAATCGCGCTCTCACGCTGGACGCTCTCAGGATTTACGCAGGAACCGAGCTCACGCTTGGGATTGCATCGCAATGTGTATAAACGCCGCCCCCTCACTCAGGAATCAGGCTCTCGCTCTGGACCTCCTCACGATTTATTTGGGAATCGCGCTGTCGCTTGAGACTTCTTAGCGGTTCATGCAGGAATGACGCTTCAGCGACCCGGCCGCCTGGGCCCTCCTGGGGGCCTCTTGGGACCGAAAGCTCGAAATGTTCATTCGGGTTCCCCTTCTGGGCGCCCTCTTGGGGCCGTCCTGGGGCCCCTCTTGGGCCGTCCCAGGGTCCTCTTGGGCCGTCTTGGGGTCCTCTTGCGCTGTCTTGGAGCCCTCTTGGGGGCTTGTTGTGCCGTCCTGGGGCGATCTTGGGGGCCTCTTGGGCCGTCTTGGAGCGTCGGTCAGCCGAAATGGCGAGAAAGCGAACATCTTTCCCAAACCATAGAAAAATCAATCATTTTTGTCTCCTTTGGCTCTCATGGGGGTGCTCTTGGAGGCCTCTTGGGCCGTCTTGGAGGCGATTTGGGCCGTTTGGAGGCAATCTTGGGCGTCTTGGAGCGATCTGGAGTCGTCTGGAGGCTCTCTGGACCGGCTTGGGACTCTCTTGGACCGGCTTGGGGCGCTCTTGGGTCGTCCCCGGGCTGTTCCGGACCTTGAAGGAGGGGGGGGGCCTGCGGCAGAGTGGGGACCCTTCGGAGGGACTTTCAGGGAGGTTTTTGACTAGGCACTGGCGAATGGGGCTGAAGACTGTGCCAAACACACTGTCAGAGAGGTCTCGCACGGCCCAACCCGCAGGGCCTTGAGTTTTTTCGGGGAGTATCGTTTGGAGGGCGGTATCTGCTTTTGGTGTCGTCCTGGGGCTCTCGTGGGCATCTTGGGTCTCTTGAGGAGCCCTCTTAGGGCGATGTCGGGAGCTCTTGGGGCCGTCTTGGGGCTCTCTGGGGCTTCTTTTGGGCCTGGCGTGGGTTTTGGTGGAGCGTATTTCAGGCGTCTGAACGCGCGCGATGGCTCAAGCTTGAGCAATCTTGGGCGCTCCAAACTCTCCTGGCTTTGTGTTCCTTTCTGGGTGCAGGGGAGCGGCTAGGAGGAGGGGCGAAGCCCTCGCCGAAATGGCAGAGTGGCACACGGCCCACAGAGACTTCAAGACGCCACACTGCAAACCCGAGCGACTCCCTGCAAGGCCTGAGGGTGGTCAGGGTCTTCGTTGTGGTCGGGCCTCTCTCCTTCCCGCCGTCGTCGTCGAGTGGGAGGGAACCTTGTCCTGCTCGGCCGCGTGGGGCCGCGTGGGGCTGCCTTGCGGGCCTCCGGGGCCGTCTCGGAACGGTTTTGGGGGACCCCTGGGCCTCGGAGGCCAGCATGAGGTAATCCTGGACCGTCCCAAGAACTGAGCTCCCGAGGGGTGGGGGTGCCGGGACGTGGTGTGGGCGTGGTGGGGGCGCGGGGGGGATTGTTTGTAGGTATCGGGCCAGAAATTGTCGCGTGGGAGGTCCCAAGAACTGAGCTCTCGTGGGGTGGGGGTGCCGGGACGTGGCGGGGGCGTGTTGGGGCGCGGTGGGAGGAATTGGTCGGTTTTGGGGCCAGACGTTGTCGCGTAGGGGGCCCAAAAGCGGAACTCTCGTGGGGTGGGGGTCTTCGGACGTGGTGGGGGCGTGGTGGGGGCGTGGTGGGGGCGCGGTGGGGGCGCGGTGGGGTGTGGGCGCGGTGGGGAGTCCCAAGGGTTGAGCTCTCGTGGGGTGGGGATGCCAGGACGTGCTTGGAGCGCGGCGGCGGGGGGGGGGGGTGGTAGGTATCGGGCCAGGAATTGTCGTGCGGGGGGTCCCAAGAACTGAACTCTCGTGGAGGTGAGGGTGCCGGAACGTGGTGGGGGCGCGGTAGGGGGTGTTGGTCGGTTTCGGGCCAGAAATTGGACGTGGTTGGGTCGCGGTGGGGGCACGGGGGTGGGCGTTGGCAGGTTTCGGGCCAGAAATTGATGTGTGGCGGGTTCCTAGAACTGAGGGTCTGGGACGGGGTCGGATGCGAGCGAGAAATTGTATGGTGGGGGCCCTAAGACTTGAATAGCAGGCGGCGAGAGTCCGGATGTCGGCGGGGGGGTCTGTCGCGGGGTCGGATCCGACGGAAACTTGGACCCAGATGTCGGCGAGGGGGTCTGGGACGGGGTCGGACCCGAGCGAGCAATTGCATGGTGGGGGGCCTCAAGAACAGCAGGTGGCGAGGACCCAGATGTCGGCGGGGGGTGTGGGACGGGGTCGGATCCGAGGGAGAAGTGGCATGGAGGGGCGGCTCCAAGAGCAGCAGTTGCCCCCAAGAAAAATCGGGGAGACATAAGACTCGAGTAAGCCGGAACTCGGGTTTGCCGATGTTCTTTTGCCTTGCGCGTCTTGGATTTTGACGGTCCAGTTTTCGTGGGATGTTTGCAGCGGGAGCTCGCGTTAAATTTATCATTTTCATGATGGCACCGTCAGGCCAACCCGAGTCCCCCGCACCCGAGTCTTACGTCTCCCCGAAAAAAAAGCGACATCCTGTGTGTGTGCGTGTGTGGGGGGGGGGGGGGCTGTGTGGGCGTGCGTGGGCGTGCGTGCGGGTGCGTGCGTGGGCGCGCGTGCGCGTGCGCGTGGGCGAGCGCGTGGGCGTGCGTGTGGGCGGGCGTGTGGGCGGGCGTGTGGGCGTGCGTGGGCGTGCGTGGGCGTGCGTGGGCGTGCGTGGGCGTGCGTGGGCGTGCGTGGGCGTGCGTGCGTGGGCGTGCGTGCGTGGGCGTGCGTGCGTGCGTGCGTGCGTGCGTGCGTGCGTGCGTGCGCGCGCGCGCGCGCGTGTGTGTGTGTGTGTGTGTGGTGTGTGTGTGTGTGTGTGGTGTGTGTGTGTGTGTGTGTGTGTGCGTGCGTGCGTGCGTGCGTGCGTGCGTGCGTGCGTGCGTGCGTGCGTGCGTGCGTGCGTGCGTGCGTGCGTGCGTGCGTGCGTGCGTGCGTGCGTGCGTGCGTGCGTGCGTGTGTGTGTGTGTGTGTGGTGTGTGTGTTGTGTGCGAGCGTGCGTGCGTGCGTGCGTGCGTGCGTGCGTGCGTGCGTGTGTGTGTGCGTGCGTGCTGTGTGTGTGTGTGTGTGTGTGTGTGTGCGTTTGCGTGTGCGTGTGCGTGTGCGTGTGCGTGTGTGTGTGTGTGTCTGTGTGTGTGCGTGTGCGTGTGCGTGTGCGTGTGCGTGTGCGTGCGTGCGTGCGTGCGTGCGGGCGGGCGCGGGCGGGCGGGCGGGCGGGCGGGCGGGCGGGGATGTGGGTGTGGGTGTGGGTGTGGATGTGGGTGTGTGTGTGTGTGTTGGGGGGGGGGGCGTGTCCTGCTGGGACAGGGTTCCAGGAAGCAGGCGATTGTTCACGTGGTGGTTGCCATGTTCGTCCGCACACCCCTGCGGGGACGTGGTGGGGGCGCGCTGGGGGGTGTTGGTCGGGCCAGACATTGTCGCGCGGGGGGGCTCAAGAACTGCGCTCTCGTGGGGTGGGGGTGCCGGGACGTGGCGGGGTCGTTGTGGGGGCGAGGTGGGGACGCGGAGGTGAGTGTTGGCAGGTTTCCGGCCAGAAAGGTGGGGGTGCTGGGCCGTGGTGGGGCCGCAGTGGGGGGTGTTTGTCGGCTTCGGGCAAGAAATTTGTTGCGTGCGGGCGGGCGCAAGATTTGAGCTTTCGTGGTTTGTGGGTGCCGGGACGTGGTGCGGGCGCGGCGGGGGGTTGTGGTGGTAGGTTTCTGGCAAGAAATTGCCCAAGAGTTGAGCTTTCGTGGTGTAGGGGTGCCAGGACGTAGTGGGGGCGCGGTGGGGGGTGTTTGTAGGTTTCGGGCCAGAATTTGTCGCGTAGGGAGTCCCAAGAATTGAACTCTCGTGGGGTGGGGGTGCCGGGATGTGGTGGGGGCTCGGCGGCTGTAATAAACACTTCTCCTCACACGCCTCTTGAGGTCGGCGGATTCGTTTTCTTTTTCGTCATCTTGCTCCCCTGCACCCCCAGGATCGCCGCAAGCAGCGGCGTTCGAGGATTTCTGAGAGCCAGGGCTACCTGAGGTAGCCAGTGGCCGAGGGGAGGCTGCAGCGCGGTAGGCACGCGGCGAGGGCAAAGGGTAGCTCTACAGCGAGGCATCCCCAGACGTCTGGCGACTCGAGTCGAACAAGAAGAAGCAGCTGCATGCACAAATACCCGCCGACTGTCGGAAGTTGGTAGATCTGGATTCCCCGATTCCAATCTACTTCTGGCGTCTTCCTGCGTCAATCTCAATCATAGAGCTTGTTTCCCTTTGTACTTCCTCTTTGGGGGGTTGGCGCAAGCGCCTTCTTACTTCATGTTCCTACCCACTTCTTCTGGCCGATGGGTACGCAGAACATTTCGGAGATCTGCGCGGATTTCTCATATCGGCGCTGGGCCCCCCTGGCGGCGCCTCTGGAGCGCTCCGCGCGCCAGGGATGGAGGTCCAGCCGCCGGTCCAAGAGATCTTCGCGCGGACCTCCGAACGTTTATTGTGAAGGCCTTACTCGGAAACAAGAACATATACATTACCAGTGGCGGGCTGTTTTCAATCCCAGGACTTTTTGAGGGTCGGGGACGACGTCGGGGTGGTGTGGTGTATACTTGTTCTTCCGTTTCCTGGGGAAACGCGGAACACTGTATACACCAAGATCCATCTACACCAGGATTTGTTGTTCTGTGCAAATTTCTGTGTAGGCCCGGAAAAAGTGTTTGTGTATAGAGTTCGTTTCCCTATTTCCGGCCAATGCCGCCGACCTTGGAAAAATACCCCCACGATGAAGGTGACAGTCAGAGTTGCCCAGGAAGGTTGGGGCCAGACGCCCCGAAGAGTTCCCCTGAAGCCCCATGATATGACGAGGAGCACAGCTTGGCCATGCTATCTGCCTACGTATGTCCTTTCACAGAAGAAGGGGGGAATCAGGAGAGGGAGGAGGAGCATGAAGAGGAGGAGGAGGATGATGAAGAGGAGCAAGAGGAGGAGGAGGAGGCGGAGGAGGAGGAGGAGGAGGGCAACGAGGAAGGCAACAAGGAGGAGGAGGAGGAGGAGGCGGAGGCGGAGGCGGAGGAGGAGGAAGAGGAGGAGGAGGAGGAGGAGGCGGAGTTGGAGCAGGAGACCTGTTGAGAGCCTTTTCGGGGCTCTGGGAGCCTCCTCTGGCTTTCTGGCCGCCTCGTGCTGTCAGACGGAGTCATTTTCGCCGTTTTTGATTGTATTTTGGATCGTCTTAGCGGCAATGCAGCGCTATCCCTGACCATCTGGGAGTCGAGCCTGGCCGTCCCTTGGAAAATTCGGTGGGAGCCTTCGGAGGGCTCTCTTTTGGGGCGGTCGGGCGATGTCAGGCCCCTCTTGGATTAAGTGGCCCACGGCCCATCCCGCCCCCGTGCCTTGGTATGATATTGTTGGGGACCTTCTGGGAATCCTCGCTGAGATTCTTTTGGCCTCTCTTGGAGGCTGCTTGGAGCTCTTCCTGGGCTCTCTGAGAGTCCCAACATGATTTACGAGGGGCCCCAAAGGGCACCAGGAGGTTCTAAAAGGCCTAAGGGCCTAAGAGGGCCCCATGAGTGCTACCCAAAACAGCCCGCAACAGTGTCATACCAAAGGTTCCTGGTATGATGCTGTTGAGGGCTTTCTTGGAATTATGTGGGGACCCTTTCGGCGCTCTCTTGGCGTGCTGGGGTGATTTCAGGCCCCTATTTGATTATCGGAGACGCCTACGGCGAATCACCGCCGCCCCCAGTTTTTTGGAATCGCCCATATGTCCGAGTGTTGTGGCAAGAGGTCTGCCAAGCTATCAGACCACGTATTCCCCCAGCCGTAGTACAAACCCTTCGGGGAACACTTGGGGGAGGATGCCGGGGAAGATCAGGAAGAGGATGAGGAGGGGGTATCTTGGGAGCTTCTGGGGGCACCCTTGGGGCCTCCTGGGAGCATCCTGGGAGCCTCTTGGAGTGATATTGCGGGCCTCCTTGGGCCTCTTGTGGGCCTTTGGGAGCTTCTCGGGGGCCTCTTTTGCCGTCTTAGGGCATTCCTGGCCCGCCTGACGCCGTCGGAAGCCGTCTTGGGGGCCTCTCTGGGCCGACTTGGGCCCTCTTGGGATGCTCTAGGGCCTTCCTTCTTGGAGGCCATCTTGGGCGTCTTTGAGGCCTCCTGGGGACGTCACGGGGGCCTCTTGGGGCCGTCTTGGGTGCCCTCTTGGGGCCGTTTACTCCGTTCTGGGGTCATCTTGGAGGCCTCTTGGGCGATATTTGGGGGCTCTTGGGCCGTCTCGGGCCGTCGGAAAGCTGAACAGAAGCAAATGCCAACATCCTCCAAACACCTAAGGAAACTCAATGATGTTGGCCTCTTAGGGCCATCCTGGAGGACCTCTTGGGAGCCGTCTTGGAGGCCTGTGGGGCCGTCTTGGGCCGTCTTTGTTGGAGGCATCTTGGACTCTCGTGGGCCGTCTTCGAGGCCATCTTGGGCCATCTTGGGCGAACTTGGAGGCCAGCTTGGCCGTCTTGGAGGCCATCTTGGGCGTCTTAGGGGATTATTTGCGGACTTGGTGATGGATTTTGGTCCCTTTCGGGTGGTCGGCGGGACGGGCCAAAACGCCCAGGGGAGAGTTCTTCGGAAAAAAGCCAAACCAGTAAGATCTAGCACGCCCGGCACCCTTGTGGCAAGATCACGGGGGGCGGCGGATCGAAGACGCCTACGGCGAATCACCGCCGCCCCCTGCCCTTGTGGAAGCGCCTATGTGTCCGACAGCTGGGCTAGTGCCTGGTCAAGCTATCTGACCATGTATTCCCCGAGTCGGTTTGGAAAGGTTTCGGGGAACGCGGGGGGGAGGAAGCGGAGCAGGAGGAGAAGGAGGAAAAAGAAGAAGGGGGAGAAAGCCTCTTCGAAGCCTCTTGAGACACTCTTGGGCTCGATTGGACCATCTTCGGACCGTCTTGGAGGCCATGCTTGGGCTATCTTGGGCTCTCTTGGGGCCTGTTCTTATGGGGCCCTTTTGGGGCTTCTCGAGGGCTTCTTTGGCCGTCTTATTGCGTTCCTGGCCCGTCTGACGCTGTCGGATGCCGTCTTGGGGGCCTCTCTGAACCGACTTGGGGCCCTCTTGGGGCGCTTCGGGTCCGTCTTAGAGGCCAGCTTGGGCGTCTTGGAGGCCTCTTGGGCCGTCTCATCTTGGAGGCCTCGTGGGCGATTTTGGGGCGATCTTGGGGGCCTCTTGGGCCGTCTCGAGGTCTTCGGAAGGCCGAAAAGAAGCAAATGCCAAAATCCTTCAAACACCTAAGGAAAATCAATGATTTTCCTTAGGCTCTTGGACCTCCTTGAGGACCTCTTGGAGGCGTCGTGGGGGGCTCTTTGGGGCCTCTTGGGCCGTCTTGAAACATCTTGAGGCTATCTTAGGCCGTCTTAGAGGCATCTTGGGGCCATCTGAGCCGTCTTGGAGGCCATGTTGGCCGTCTTGGAGGCCATCTTGGAGCCGTCTGGAGCAGGGAAAATCTTGGAGCCATCTGAAAGATCTTTCCGGGTGGCCAGCGGGGATCGAAGACGCCTGCGGCGAATCACCGCCGCCCCCTGCCTTGTTGGAAGCGCCTATGTGGCCGAACGTTGAGGCCAGACCTGCCAAGCTATCGGACCATGTGTTCCCCGAATCGGTTTGAGGACCTCTTGGAGGCCTCTTGGGTCGTCTTGGGCCGTCTTGGAGGCTTTTTGGGCGAACTTGGAGGTATCTTGGACTCTCTTGGGCCGTCTTGGAGGCCGTCTTGGACCATCTTGGGCGGACTTGGAGGCCATCTTGGAGCATCTTGGAGGCCATCTTGGGCCAACGTGGCCATCTTGGAGGCCATCTTGGAGCCGTCTGGAGCAGGAAAACCCTTTGCAACCAGCTCTGGAAGATCCTGGGCAATCCTTCCGGGACCCCGGCGGGACGCGCCGGAGCCCCAGGGGGAGTTCTTTTGGAAAAGAACCAAAACCCAAACCGAGAGGGTTCAGCACGCCAGGCACCCGTGCGATGAATCGACAGTGGGCGGCGGATCGAAGACGCCTACGGCGAATCACCGCCGCCCCCTGCCTTTTTGGAAGCGCCTATGTGGCCGAACGTTGTGGCCAGACCTGCCAAGCTATCGGACCATGTGTTCCCTGAATCGGTTTGGAAAGCCTTCGAGGAACACATGGGCATCTTGAAGCTCATCTTGGCCGTCTGGAGGCTATTTTGACCCTTTCGGGCCTTATTGGAGGACGTCTTGGAGGTTTCTTGGGCCTCTTGGGAGCCTCTTGGGGCCGTCTTGGGCCGCTTTGGCGATCTTTGGGGGCAATTGGGCCGTCTCGGGCCGTCGGAAGGCAGAATAAAAGCAAATGCCACAATCCTTCAAACACCCATGGGGAAATCAATGATTTTGGCCTTTTCGGGCCTTCCTGGAGGCCCTCTTGGAGGCCCCTTGGGCCGTCTTGGGCCATCTTGGGGCCATCTTCGGCCGTCTTGGTGGGCTCCTGGCCCGTCTGACGCAAGCCGTTTGGGGGGCCTCTCTGGGCCGACTTGGGGCCCTCTTGGGATGCTCCACGGCCGTATTGGAGGCCACCTTGGGCGTCTTAAAGGCCTCCTAGGCCGTCTTAAGGGCCTCTTGGGGCTATCTTGGGGGCCTCTTGGGCCGCTCTGGGGCCGTCTTGGAGGCCTCTTGGGCGATATTTGGGTGACCTTTGGGGGCTCTTGGGCCGTCTCGGGCCGTCGGAAGGCCGAAAAGACGCAAATGTCAAAATCTTTAAACAACCAAAGGAAACTAGTGTTTTTGGCCTCTTCTGGCTTTCCTGGAGGCCCTCTTGGAGGCCTCTTGGGCCGTCTTGGGCCACGTCTGACGCCGTCGGGAGCCGTCTTGGGGGCCTCTCTGAAACGGCTTGGGGCCCTCTTGAGGCGCTTCGGGGCCGTCTCGGAGGCCATCTTGGGCGTCTTGGAGGCCTCGTGGCTCGTCTTGGGGCCCTCTTGGGGCCGTCCTCTTGGGCCGTCATGGAGCCATCTTGGAGGCCTCGTGGGCGATCTTGGGGGCCTCTTGGGCCGTCTTGAGCCGTCGGAACGCCGAAATGAAGCAAGTGCCAAAATCTTTCAAAACCCTAAGGGAAATCAATGTTTTGGGCCTCTTCGGGTCCTCCTTGAGGACCTCTTGGAGGCCTCTTGGGTCGTCTTGGGCCGTCTTGGAGGCTTTTTGGGCGAACTTGGAGGTATCTTGGACTCTCTTGGGCCGTCTTGGAGGCCGTCTTGGACCATCTTGGGCGGACTTGGAGGCCATCTTGGAGCATCTTGGAGGCCATCTTGGGCCAACGTGGCCATCTTGGAGGCCATCTTGGAGCCGTCTGGAGCAGGAAAACCCTTTGCAACCAGCTCTGGAAGATCCTGGGCAATCCTTCCGGGACCCTGGCGGGACGCGCCGGAGCCCCAGGGGGAGTTCTTTTGGAAAAGAACCAAAACCCAAACCGAGAGGGTTCAGCACGCCAGGCACCCGTGCGATGAATCGACAGTGGGCGGCGGATCGAAGACGCCTACGGCGAATCACCGCCGCCCCCTGCCTTTTTGGAAGCGCCTATGTGGCCGAACGTTGTGGCCAGACCTGCCAAGCTATCGGACCATGTGTTCCCCGAATCGGTTTGGAAAGCCTTCGAGGAACACATGGGCATCTTGAAGCTCATCTTGGCCGTCTGGAGGCCATTTTGACCCTTTCGGGCCTTCTTGGAGGACGTCTTCGAGGGCTCTTGGGCCGTCTTGGAGGCCATCTTGAGCGTCTTGGAGGCCTCTTGGGCCGTCTTGGGGGCCTCTTGGGGCCGTCTGGGAGGCCTCTTGGGCGATCTTTGGGGGCACTTGGGCCGTCTCGGGCCGTTGGAAGGCCGAACAAAAAGCAAAAGCCACAATCCTGCAGAAACTCATGGAAAATCAATGATTTTGGCCTTTTCGGGCCTTCCTGGAGGCCCTCTTGGAGGCCTCTTGGGCCGTCTTGGGTCATCTTAGGGCCATCTTCGGCCGTTTGGGTGGGCTCCTGATCCGTCCAACGCCGTCGGAAGCCGATTGGGGGGCCTCTATGGACCGACTTGGGGCCCTAAAGGCCTCCTGGGCCGTCTTGGGGGCCTCTTGGGGCCGTCTTGGGGGTCTCTTGGGCCGTTCTGGGGCCATCTTGGAGGCCTCTTGGGCGATCTTTGGGCGATCTTGGAGCTCATCTTGGGGGCCATCTTGGGCGTCTTGGAGGCCTCTTGGGCGTCTTGGGGGCCTCTTGGGGCCGTCTTGGAGGCCTCTTGGGCGATCTTTGGGGCTTTTGGGCCGTCTCGGGCCGTCGGAAGGCCGAACAAAAAGCAAATGCCGCAATCCTCCAAAATCCTGAAGGCGCTGTTTTTTGTTTTTTCTGGCTGGAGGCCCTCTTGGAGTCCTCTTGGGCCGTCTTGGGCCAGCTTCGAGCCAACTTCGGCCATCTTCGTGGGCCCCTGGCCCGTCTGACGGGAGACCTCTCTGAACCGACTTGGGTCTTGGAGGCCTCTTGGACCGTCATGGGGCCCTCTTGGAGGCCTCGTGGGCGATCTTGGGGGCCTCTTGGGCCGTCTTGAGCCGTCGGAATGCCGAGAAGAAGCAAATGCCAAAATCTCTCAAAAACCTAAAGAAAACCATTGATGTTGGCCTCTCCGGGCCCTCCTGGAGGACATATTGGAGGCCTCTTGGGCCATCTTGGAGGCTTCTTGAGCGAACTTGGAGGTATCTTGGACTCTCTTGGGCCGTCTGGAAAGCCGTCTTGGACCATCTCGGGCGAGCTTCAGGGCCATCTTGACCGTCTTGGAGGCCATCTTGAGCCGTCTTGGAGAATTGTTTGCGGACGTTGAGGTCGTTTGCGGGCCTGGAGCTCCCTCCCGGGACCCCGGCGGGACGCGCCGGAGCCCCAGGGGGAGTTCTTTGGGAAAAGAGCCAAAACCGAAATCATCTAGCACGCCAGGCACCCGTGCGATGAATCGACAGGGGGCGGCGGATCGAAGACGCCTGCGGCGAATCACCGCCGCCCCCTGCCTTTTTGGAAGCGCCTATGTGGCCAAACGTTGAGGCCAGACCTGGCACCTGGAGGGGGTCCAGGGGGAAGTCCCAGGTCAGAATACGGTCACCCCCCTTCCCGTGTCAGGCCGCCTTCGAGCACAGTTGGCCCTCCTTCGGCAGAACAGGTCCGAGATACCCCAAGAGGGGCCCAGGAAGGCCCAGAGTCGCCGAAAGATTGCTCCAGGACGCTCACGATGGCCTCCAGACGGCCCAAGGCGCCTCCAAGACGCTCCAAGAGGCCTCCAAGAGCACTCCCCAGAAGACCCCCAAAGGCACCATGCATTGAACTTCCGTTTTTTTGTGGATTAGCATTTCTGCCATTTCGGCTTCCCGACGCTCCCCCCAAAACTCGCTCACAGACGGCCTACGAGGCCGTCAAGAGGGCGCCCAGACGGCCCCGAAAGCTCCCTCCCCAAGACGGCCCAAGAGGCCTCCAAGACGGCCCCAAGAACGCCCCAAGAGAGGCCCCAGAGGGCCAGCAGGAACCGACATTTCAAGCTCACCGCCCCAAGAGGCTCCTGAGAGGCATCCACGAGGCCCCAAGAGGCCCACAAGATGCCCCCAGGAAGCCCCAAGACGCTCCCAAGAGGCTCCCAAGCAGCCTGCAAACTGCCTCCAGAGGCCCCCGACAGCCCTCCGAAGAGATCCCAAAAAATTCAAGCCCAGTACCCAAGCACGGTGGCGGGATGGACCGCGGGCCACTAGACCTGCTTGGCACGGGGACGGAAAGCGCACTTACTTTCAGAGCGGACGAGATCGCTGGCTCGTCCGCTCTTGCACCTCTGATTGACTCCCTTCCCCTCGCTCTTGTCCTATCTCAGCCTCGGAGAGTCGCGGAGCTTTCTTTGAGCGCGTTTCTTGTTTTGGAGGGGGCGGTCGGGTCGCGTTGCGTTTTCCGCGTTTGGGCTGCCAGCTTTCCAGAACCCCGCGTTTTCCTTGCGTGGACCGCTCGTTGTCCACGCGTTGCCGCCCGTCCCTGTGCCCTGGCGTCAAGAACTTATTACGCCGCAGCTCTCTGTTGGGAGCTTTGGTCTTATCAGCTCGATTACGTCACCGCTCGCTCTTGGGAGCCGCGGTGCTAAGAGCCTTAGGGAGTATTTTGGGCCTCTTGGGGGGCTCTTGGGGAGCCTTTTGGGTGCCTTCTGGGGACCTTTTGGGGCTTTTCGGGGGCCTCTTGGGCCTCCTGGGAGCTTCTGGGCTGCGGGGGTGAAGGGACTAGGCTGCCTTGGGCCGTCTTTGGGCTCTCTTGGGGGCCTCTTGGGGCCTTCTTGGGGCCGTCCTGGGGCCGTCTTGGGCCGTTTTTGGGCCCTCTTGGGGGCCTCTTGGGCCTTCTTGGGGCGCTCTTAGGGGCCTCTTGGACAGTATTGGGCGCCTCTTGGCCCGTCTTGGCGCCCTCTTGGGCTATTTTGGGGGCCTCTTGGGAATTGGAGATAGTTTATCGGGTTGGCCTGTCAATTTGTTGATCCGCAACCGTTGGATCTAATCAGCCGCGCGAGCCGGTGGTCCGCCCCTCGATGGAGTGGGCGAGGGCTGCCGCTGCTGGCGCCGGCGGCTTGGCACACCTGGGCAGCCTGTGGTACGGCCAGCGCTGTACCTGCCAGGTCGAGCTGGGAGACGGGTTCCCCGTGGACCGCGAGCTGCTGCGCCTGCTGGAGGGGCAGCTGCAGAGGTGCGGGCCCGCCAACCTCACGGTGCCGGCGCCGTGCGCGCCCCCAGAGTGCTCGGGCTATCCGGGGCTGGTGGTCTTCCTGGTGGCGGTACTGGCCTTTCTGGCAGGGTTCGCCGCTGCTGCCGTCTGCGGCTGGTGGTGCTTGAGGCGCTCGGAGGGTCGCGCTACGTCTGAAGGCTCGGAGACTCCGTACTTGACCGACGGAAGCGATGTCAGAGCATCTTCGTCAGGGCCAGCGGGTGCTCGTCTCTTACGACGAGGACCCTCGCGAGCTGTTGTGGCATGAACGCCTTCTGTGCGCGCACGTGCACGAAGGCTCCTGGGTGGTGACAACACCCGAGAGAGACATGTACTTCGAAGATCATCAGGAGGGGATCGAGAGCCTCGTGTTGTTGGGACCCATGGGAGGCCTGCCGATCGGATGGAACCGTGGGCCCACGCACCTGTTCAGGAACTCGTCCCAGGGTCCGCTGCACCGCGAGGAGAGCTTGCGGCTCCAGGCGGATGGCGCTGAGCTGGCCTTGCAGGAGTGGCGCGACTTGGGCCTCGCCGCTGCTCCGCCGCTGCCGCCGCCCGCGGGCGCGCCTCCGCCGCTGACGTTGGAGGGCGCGCCGAGCTCGGGCGAAGGAGGGTGGCGGTGCTCGGAGAACCGCGGCGGCGCTCGGCTGGGCGAGCGCGTCGGCGACGCGGAGCTGGAGGCAGGTTGCCATCGAGGAGATCGTGGAGTGGCCCTGGTGGGCGACGTCTTCGTGGCCTGCTCCTTCTTCAGGCCGGGCCAGCAGATGCCTACGCCCAGGGAGTGCAGGCGACGGAGCCTCCGTCCAACGAGCTGCGCACCCTCCCGGTGAAGTACGAGACGGCCAGCCAGCGGCATCGCTCCTACAAGGAGGCCGCCTCGCTGACCACGACGACGGCGTTCGAGGACTGGCCGATCAGCGGTCCGAGGACGGCGGAGTGGCTGGCGCGGGAGATCGCTCGGCAGGAGCTGACGCCCGTGCGCCGCCACTTCTGGTGGAGACAGCTGCTGGGCTTGGGCCCCAGCGATTGGGGCGTCGGGGAGCACGAGGCCTTGAGCCGGCTCTTCGAGTACGCTCTGACGTACGACCAGCTGAACTTCGGCGAGCTGGCGTCGCTGGAGCTTGCAGGCAGGCGCTACCAGCTGCTCGCGGAGAGGCACGCCCGCGCGCTGATCGCGGCGACGGCGGGTGGCGACAGCGGCCATCTCGACAACGACAGGCTGTTCATGGGCGGGGAGGGCCGCCATGGCCGCGCGCTCGTGGCGCCTGTTCTAGAGCCCTGGATCTCCCAGAAGCTGTCCGAGGAGAGCTCGGTGCTCAAGGAGCGCCGCAAGGCGAAGGAGGGGCGGCAGCTGGCCCGCTCGGCCGACGTTGCTCCAGGTGTTGGAAGCGGCAAGAACGACGAGAAGCCCCCCAGGCGCCCGAAGAAGAATGGTGGCGGGCCGGGGGGTGACGCTGCTTGAACTGCCACGGGCGGCGGAGGCCCCCGGCCGCCGCCCATTCTGCAGAGGGGAGGGCTGCCCGCCTGAGGAGGATGGCGGGCCGCCTCGGTGTTGCAGGTGAAGGCCTAGATTGGGCTCGGGACTTGCTGCCGCTGCCATCTGGGCGCTGCCTGGCTGATCTCCTGGAGGGACTCTCGCCAGCTGGCCCGTGTGTTTCGCGCTGTGCGGATCGGCGGCGCTCGCGCCGACGGGCTGCTGAGGCGCGGCTGCAGGGCGGCATCTCGACGCTCAACGTGCTGGGCGGCCGCGGCGAGGAGTGGGGCCCCAAAGTGTTGCCAGGTGCTATCCAGCGCCAGGCTGTGGCCAGCTTGGCCCGGGCCTACTTTGCCGCGCCGCCGCCGCCCGACGACCTCACCGCCTCGGGAGCGTGGTCTGCGCTTCGGGGCTGCGGTTCCGGCTACGCCGTTGCAGGCGCTGTCGCCGGAGAGTTCGCGACCAACCAGCGCGGCAGGCTTGCCCTGCCAGCGGTCGGTAACCAGGCGATCGACCTCGTCAGTTGCCTGCCCGACCACTACCAGAAGTTGCTGGAGGATAGTGGCCGCGCTATTCGGCTACCAGCAGTGTGTACAAAGGACGCGGCGGCAGAGGCGGACGAGTTGGGCCCTGCGATGGATCCCATCCTGGCGAGGTCGCCCAGCAAGTACGCCGAGTTTTTGATGTCAGCATACGAATCGGGTGTCGTCGAGCCGGCGACTGAGGTTCGCAGTTTTGTGGGAGTCTTCTTTGTGCGTAAGAAGGACGGCTCGTTGCGGATCATCTTCGATCCTCGAAAGACGAATTCGCAGTTTGTACCTCCAGATAGTGTTGCTCTGGCTTCTCCTGAGGCCCTGGGTGATCTTGAGTTACCTGCAGGCCAGCGGTTGTGGGTCAGTGAGGGCGATGTCGAGAACTGCTACTACCAGTTCTTGCTGCCTGACGACCTGAGGGCCGACTTCGCGTTACCGGCGGTGCCTCGGAAGCTGCTGCCGAGGATCCTGGGCCGCTTGTTTCCGCCCGGGGGCGACTTCGTTCACTTCCAGGCGCGCGTGGCGCCGATGGGCTGGAGCTGGGCCGCGGCGCTGGTGCAGGCGGCGAACGCGGAGCTGCTGCGCGCTGGTCCGCGGGGGGCCCGCCGCTGGATCTGCAATCGCCGCTGCGCGCCTGCTGTCGCTGGGCGCGAGCCCGCTGCTCTCCTGTGCGTCGACAACTTCGCCTCTCTGGGAACCGTAAAGGAGACAGTCCAGCTCGACGGCGACTCGATGGAGAGGCAGCTGAGGGGACGCGGTCTGACTACTCACGACATCTCGGGGCCGCAAGTTGACGTGGGCCTGCTCGAGTTCCACATCGACGGGGCGGAGGGGGCGATCCACATCGCGCCCAAGCTGTTCTGGAGGCTAGTCACGAGTCTGGACTAGATCCTGAAGGGGCCCCTCCTGACGGGGGCCGAGCTAGAGCGGCTGATCGGGCACTTGACGCACGTGCTGCTGCTACGACGCGAGGTGCTCAGCTTGCTCAGTGCATCCTACGTCTTTGTCAGCAAGTGCCACGCTCGTCGCGTGCGGCTCTGGCCTTCGGTGCGCCGAGAGCTGACCTGGATGCGAGCGCTGCTGCCACTGGTGTGGGCGGATCTGCGCGGCGCCTGGGCCCCCAGCGTGATGGCCGTGGACGCCTCGATGACTGGCTTGGGCGCGGTGGAGCGCTCCGCGAACCCCCGCGACGTCGGGCGCGTCGGCCGAGTTCGAGAGCGCTGGAGGTTCAAGGAGCACGAGCTGGTTGCCGAAGGCTTGCGTGCACGCGCCTTGCGTGAAGGCGCCGTTGGCGACTCCCCGTTCCCCGACGTGCCGTCGGACTTCTGCAAGGCCGCTTCGTGGAAGACCGTGGCCTCGAGGCGGTGGCGCCATCGTGCCCCCATCCACCTTCTGGAGGGCGAGGCGCTGCTGTGGGCCATGCGGCGGCAGGTGCGGCGAGTGGCGCATCATGGGTGCAGGCTTCTCTTTTTGTCAGACAGCATGTGCATTTGCTGCGCAGTTGCAAAAGGAAGGGCTTCGGACTTTCCCATCCTCGCTCAGTTGAGACACCTCACAGCTCTTCAGCTCGCATCGTCTTGTCGCGTGTCAGTGCGATGGATTCCTTCAGAGTGGAACCCCGCCGACGGTCCTTCAAGGCGGTTCGAGCCTCGCCGTTTGCGGGGCGATGGGGCGCCGTCGGTTCGTGGCGGCCGCGCCGAGCGCGCAGCCGCTGCCTGCTCCGAGTGCGCCGGCGAGCGGCCATGGGCGGAAGCGCCGCCTGGGCTCGCCGGGCCGCGCGCGCTCGGGTCAAGCGAGGGCCAGTGCCAGACGCCCCCGGCCCGCTGCCGCGACCCGGAGGTCGACAGCCTTGCCGTGGCACCGCCTGCTGGGCTCGAGCGCGTCAGGACTGGAGCTGGAGGCGGCGAGGCCCTCTACCCAGCAGAATTCTTTACGCTTCGCGTATCCCCACCAGCCCATCTCAAAACAGCAACTCTTGCGAAGCATACCGACAGTCGTGTTTTTTTCAGGCGTGTTTCCGCCTGCCCCCGCATATCTCCGGGCCTCTCGTCCTGGTGTGAGTCGTTCGGGCCCTTCTTCCTGGTGTGAGTCGTTCGGGCTCTTCGTCGTGGTTTGAGTCGTTCGGGCTCTTCGTCCTGGCGTGAGTCGTTCGGGCTTCTCGTGATGTGAGTTGTTCGGGCCCTTCGTCCTGGTGTGAGTCGTTCGGGCTCCTCCTCCTGGTGTGAGTCGTTCGGGCTCCTCGTGGTGTGAGTCGTTCGGGGCCCTCGTCCTGGTGTGAGTCGTTCGGGCTCCTCGTGGTGTGAGTCGTTCGGGCGCCTCGTCCTGGTGTGAGTCGTTCGGGCTCCTCGTGGGGCCTCTTGGGGGCCTCTTGGAGCCTCGTGGGGCCTCTTGGGGGCCTCTTGGGGGCCTCTTGGGGGCCTCTTGGGGGCCTCTTGGGGCCTCTTGGGGCCTCTTGGGGGCCTCTTGGGGGCCTCTTGGGGGCCTCTTGGGGCCGCTTGGGGGCCTCTTGGGGGCCTCTTGGAGGCCTCTTGGGAGCTTCCTGGGGGCCTCTTGGGGCCATCTTGGGGCCTCTTGCGACCTCCTCAGAAGCGCAAATGAGAGCTGCCCCCTGAGAAGGACAAAATGAGCAGATAACCTTCGTAAAATCAATGATTTTGCTATGAAGGAAGATGAGCGCGGCCCCCTTCAGGACGCCAAAATGGGGCCAACACCGTAGTAAAATCAATGATTCTGGCTTTAAAGAAGAGGAGGGGGGCCAAACGGTGCCCCCCCGTCGGGGCCAGAATCCTCGTGCGGGTCGTCGTTTTTTAGCCCTCCCAGGAGTCGAAAAAGACCCCTCCAACGACCCGCGGGGCGCCCTCTCCAGGCCCAGGGGGAGGGGGTAGGGGGAGGGGCAAACCCTTCCCCGAAGGGGAAGAAGGGGGGTTGAGAACAGAGCGGGCTCCCTAAACCACTCACGCCCAAAGGACTGGTGGGACTACCTGAAGCGCCTCAGTGGCCTCTGCAACTGGCTCGGAGTGGAGACGCTTCCCAGCTGGAGCGCGCTGGAGTGGGACGACGCACTGCTGCAGTACCTGAACGACGAGTTCGCGCAGGGAGTGCGGCCGGACAGGGTTGCGAAGCTGTTGTCGGCGGTGCTCTGGGCGCGACCGGCGCTGGGGCGGCACTTGCGGGTGGCGCTGCCGAGGAGCAGCCGGGCGCTGCTGGGCTGGAAGCGCAAGCGGCCTGGCCACTCTCGGCCGCCGCTCCCTTGGCTGGTGCTCTGCGGCGTGCTGGAGATCCTGCTGCTGAAGCGGGAGGTGGCGATGGCGTGCGCTCTCTGCCTCATGTTCCACTGCTACCTTCGTCCCGGGGAGCTCCTGGCGATGAAGGCGTTTCAGCTGGTGCCGCCGGCTGCAGGGCTGCAGGGCGGGTTTCGCTGGTGGACGCTGCTGCTTCATCCAGAGGAGCTGCTGGTGCCGAGCAAGACTGGCGAGCTGGACGACTCGCTGCCGCTGGACGCGCCCGAGCTCCAGTGGCTCGCGCCCCGGCTCAGGGATCTGATGGCGCGGTTGGGGCCCCGCGAGCCGCTGTGGAGTTTCGGCTACGCGCAGCTGCGCGAGGAGCTCGAGGGCGCGCTGGCGGCGCTGGGACTTCAAAGCCTCGGCGCCACGCTGCACTGCCTACGGCGCGGAGGAGCAAGCCACGATCGAATCGTGGGAAGGAGGTCGCTCGAGGAGGTGGCCAAGAGAGGCAGGTGGCGAGCTCGCCTGTCCGCGCGGAGGCACGAGTAGCACGGCCGCCTGGCGCTGCAAGTGGCGAAGGTGCCGCCCGTGGTGCAGGGGCGGCTGCGACTCAGCATGCAGAGGCTGCCGCAGCTGTTCGCCAACTGCTCAACGCGACGCTCCACAGAGTGCGCCTGGGGCGAGAGAGGGTCGCCGTCGAGGTCTTCGCTGGGTTGGGCCGCCTCGCCTCGGCGCTTCGTGCCAGAGGAATCCCCACGGTCGAGTGGGACATCATTCGAGGGGCGCAGTTTGATCTCACCAAGGCGTCCAGTGTCGAAGCTCTAAAAGGATGGATTCTCGGTGGTGAGGTGAGCATCTTGTGGTTAGGAACCCCGTGCACTTCCTTCTCGTTGGCCCGTGGGTGCACCAAGTCTGGTCCAGGGCCTTTGAGGTCCAGGGAGTTTCCTCTTGGCTGCCCGACCTCTCAGCAGGTCCCGTTCAAATGCGAGTGCAGGTGGGCAACCGTTTGATGCCTGTCTCTGTTGTCCTTGCTAAGCCAGCTCACACTAGAGGGATCCCTGGAGGGTTCGAGAATCCCGCTTTTTCTCGTCTTTGGCTGTGTCCGCCTGTGCTAGGTCTCGGTAGGCTCCCCAATGTTCACGATGTTTTCACTGACTTTTGTATGTGGGGTGAGCCGTGGCGTAAACGAACACGGCTTCGCCCCTGGCACGTTTCTTCGGAGCTTCTTGGGCGAAAGTGCCACGGTAAAGGCATTTGTGAGAGGTCCCAGAGGCCTCACCAAGTGCTAGAGGGCAAGGCCCCCGGTGGCCAGTTTTGGACTGCAGTAGCACAGCCTTGCCCAAAGGCGCTGTGCAAGATCCTTGCCAAGTCTCTTGTAGATGCGTCAAATAATCGTAGGCTCTCTCAGTTGTGCGACATTTGTAAATGCTAGGCGGTATTGCCAGTGCACTAATGAATCTGGCCGTGAATATGGCCCAGAGTTTTTTACTTGTTCGATGCTGCTGCGTTCTGTTGTCACTGTTGCCGATGCCTCGCCCCAGCGCCCTCTCAAGCTTGTGCTGGAGAAAAATAGAAGGCCTTGGAGATAGTTTATCGGGTTGGCCTGTCAATTTGTTGATCCGCAACCGTTTGATCTAATCAGCCGCGCGAGCCGCCCGTCCCTCCCTCCCTTCTCTGCTCTTCCGCCTTTCAATCCCACGCGAATTCAGATTTTAACAGGCCCAGAGTTTTTTACTTGTTCGATGCTGCTGCGTTCTGTTGTCACTGTTGCCGATGCCTCGCCCCAGCGCCCTCTCAAGCTTGTGCTGGAGAAAAATAGAAGGCCCATCTTGGGCCGTCATGGGGCGGTCTTTGGGGCCTCTTGGACCGTCTTCAACGCCATGAAAGGCGAAAGGCCGTATATGCTAGAAATGTACGCTTTCCTTCGGAAAATCAATGATTTTGGCCTCGTGGGGCCCTCTTGGGACGCCTCGTGGGCGCCTCCTGGGGCGTCGTGGAGGCCTCTTGGGACGTCTTGGGGCCGCCTTGGGCGGTCTTGGGCTCTCTTGGAGCGCTCTTGGGCCGTCTTGGGCGCTTCTTGGGCCGTCTTGGGCGCCGTCTTGGCCGCTTCTTGGGCTGTCTTAGGCGCCTAAGACGGCCCAAGAAGCGGCCAAGAAGCGTTCTCCGATGATGTCTCGAGCGAAACGCTGTTTTTAAGCCCCGAAGGCCGTCCTACTCGATAAAAAAACGAGGCGGGAAGGCAATTAGATCCGGGTCCGCGGATGCCAACCCCCTCGAACTCACCCAAGTCCAATCTCTTCCGATTAACGGACCGCACGCTAACGCGCGCTTTCCGTCATCCGCCGCCCCCTGTCGATTCGGGGCGCTTGGCGTCTTAAACCCTCTCGGTTTGGGTTTTGGTTCTTTTTCCAAAAGAACTCCCCCTGGGGCTCCGGCGCGTCCCGCGGGCCACCCGGCGCTCAAAACGCATCCGTCGTTGGCGTCCAAGACGGCCAAGATGGCCCAGGATGGTCTCCAAGACGCCCCAAGATTGCCTCCAAGACGACCAAGATGGCCCCAAGATGCCTCCAAGACGGCCCTAGATGGCCTCAAGATGGTCTACGACGGCCCAACAGGCCCGCAAGAGGCCTCCAAGACGGCCCAAGAGCCCTCCAAGACGTCCTCCAGAAAGGCCCGAAAGAGCCAAAATCATTGATTTTCCATAGGTTTTGAAGGATTTTGACATTTGCGCCTTTTCGGCTTTCCGACGGCCCAAGACGTCCCAAGAGGCCCCCAATATCGCCCAAGAGGCCCCCCAAACGGCCCCATGACGGCCCAAGTGGCCTCCAAGACGGCCCCAAGAGGGCTCTAAGACAGCCCAAGAGGCCTCCAACACGCCCAAGATGGCCTCCAAGACGCCCAAGATGGCCTCCAAGACGGCCCCGAAGCGCCCCAAGAGGAGTCGGCCCAGAAAGGCCCCCAAGACGGCTCCCGATGGCGTCAGACGTGCCAGGAACCCACCAAGATGGCCGAAGTTGGCTCGAAGCTGGCCCAAGACGGCCCAAGAGGCCCCCAAAAGGGCCTCCAGGAAGGCCAGAAAATGCCCAAAACATTGATGTTCCTGCGGTTTTTGACGGATTTTGGCATTTGCTTCTTTTCGGCCTTCCGACGGCCAGAGACGGCCCACGAGCCCCCGAAGATCGCCGAAAGATCGCCCAAGAGGCCTCCGAGATGGCCCCAGAACGGCCCAAGAGGGCCCCAAGACGGCACAGGAGGCCTTTAAGACGCCCAAGATGGGCCTCCAGGACGGCCCTGGAGCATTCCAAGAGGGCCCCAAGTCGGCCCATAGAGGCCCCCCAAACGGCTTCCGACGGCGTCGGACGGACCAGGAGCCCACCAAGACGGCCGAACATGGTCCTAAGTTGGCCCAAGACGGCCCAAGAGGCCTCCAAGAGGGCCTCCAGGAAGGCCCGAAAAGGCCAAAATCATTGATTTCCCATGAGTTTCTGAAGCATTGTGGCATTTGCTTTTTTTCGGCCTTCCGACGGCCCGAGACGGCCCAAGTGCCCCCAAAGATCGCCCAAGAGGCCCAAGACACGGCCCCAAGAGGCCCCCGAGACGGCCCAAGAGGTCTCCAAGACGCTCAAGATGGCCTCCAAGACGGCCCAAGAGCCCGGGCCAAAATGGCCTCCAGACGGCCAAGATGAGCTTCAAGATGCCCACGTGTCCCCGAAGGCTTTCCAAACCGATTCGGGGAACACATGGTCCGATAGTTTGGCCCCTCCTACCCCCCCCAAGGAACCCGCCCGCCCCCCCAGGTGGGGTAAGGATCAAAAGGAAGGGGTTCCCCTTCGATTCAAGTTCGACTTCGATTGTGACCTGACTCGGCTCACCTCGAATCGACGAGCTTGGCGCGCCAAAGAGGGTGATGAGCCGGGCGCGCCCAAGAAAATGCCAAAGGGCGCTCCGAAAACGACAAGCCCAGACCTGATTTCTCACACACGCCGACAGTGTCCGCGGATTTGTTCTGCAGTTGTTCGTTCTGTTATCGAAGACCCAGCGCCGGAGTCTTTCTGTTATTGTCTGTTCTGGGACGGGGTCCGTGCCCCAGGACGGTCCACGACAAAGCTCGGTGAATTTCAGGGCGTGTGACGGCCAAGTGTTGTTTACAGTAGGTTCGTGACGTGACGACGCGGTGTCGGCCCCCGCGCCGGCGTTCAAGGTCGAACGCCGCCATTTGCCCAGAATCGATCAAGATGGAACGATCTGGTGATGGTACAGCCGCCGATCGCTCAAGCTTGACCGATCCACGCGGTGTCCGAAACCTACGCCGGGGTCGTCACGCCATGAACCAGCCATTCGCCGTTCAGTTCTGACGGCAATCCGCAGCATGTGCCGGCCCTCACTGATCACACCGCCTGCGTCGTGCTGAAGAGCTCTGCGCCTACGACGGTGATTGCGACGGCGACAACGACGACGACGACCGACTACCGACGACCGACGACGACAGCGGCGGCCACGACCACGACCACGGGAGCGACGAACACGACCACGACCACAACCACGACCACGACGACGACGACGACGACGACGAGGACAACGACGACGACGACGACGACGACGGCCACGACGACGACGACGACGACGACTACGGGGACCATGACGATGAGCCACGACGAACACGGCGATGGTGGCGACGATGACGGCGACAGCAACGGCGACGGCACGGCGTCGGCGACGAACACCACGACGACGGCCACGACGACAACGTACGACGACGACTTACGTTGCAGGTCAGGGCGCGCGTCGCCCGGCCTCCGCGTGCGCGCGACGCCCGCGGCAGAGACCCCGCCCCGTGCGCGTGACGGCCCGGCAGCGGTGGAAGAGGGCGCCGTCGGTTCTGCGCGCGGGTGCGGAGAGGGCAAAGAGGTCTTCGGTCGGATTTTTATCCGTCGTGTTCGAATATTGTGGGGCGTTTTCTGCCGTTCTTCGGCGGCGAGCGGCGGGGGGGGAAGTGAGAAGGAGAAGGCTTTCTCAGGAGTCGGCGGGACTTCTCAGAAACCCTCGCGCCTTCTGAGAAGTTTTCTGTGTCTTCGCGGAAGGCTGGAAAACTTCCGAGCCTTCTGATAAGGTCCGACCCTTCGCACTTCCCCCCGGGCTCGCCGTCCAGTTCTTATAGGTTCTCGTCGGCGTTCCAGCCTCGGGATGGCCTCCGGCGTCTGCGCCTCGCCGAGGGGCGTTCTGGGGCTGCCCCGAGGGTGCCGGGCGGCCGTCGGAGAGCCCAGGTAGGACCCGAGAGCCAAGGGGCAGCGTCAGGAGGGAGAGGCCGCGGGGAGAGCGCATCGACCCCCGATCGCCCCTTCGTCACCGATGGGGGCCCGAAAGCCCACAGCGCCCAGGAGCGTGTGGTGTCGCAGTCGGGGGCCTGTCACCAGTCCGTGCCGATGCTCCCCTCCCCCCCGAGACGCGGGGCCCCGAGGGGCGGGGCCCCGAGGATGGCAGAGGCTTCACTGGGGCTGCATCGTTCAAGGCCTCCGCGCTCCTGGGCTCCCACGTCTCCGGGCCCCATGCTCGGAGTGCCGAGTGGTACGTCTCCACCGCCCAGGGCACCGATGCCCCAGGACCCCAGGAGGCGGCGGGCATGGGCCGACAGGAGAAAGCCGCGCGGGCAACCAGAAGCGTATGTTCACGGTGCTCTTTTGTGCTTGTGATTGGGGGCCCAGGCTCCTCGCGTCTTTCGGGCCGGACGATTGGGTAGGGTAGGGAAAGGGGGTGTTATGACATGTGCTGCGTGCAGCTGGTTTCCGCTCCGCCGCTGGGCGCACTCCTCGATACATGCGCGCCTCCTGGAGCCAGGAGGTGCGAGGAAAGCCAGCTACCTGAGCTGGTTCTCCACCATGCCCTTTGCTATCCTGCCCTTTCGGCCCCGCGCCTCCTGGCGCTGATCTCGGCGGAAAGTGTTTGGCCCCCGGGCACCTCCCGTCGGGCCTGAGGGCCGTCAAGAGGTGGCTCGAGAGGAAGAGAGCTGGTGGCCTCTGGGGAAGAGGTCTGGGTCAGCGTTGCAACGAGCTTCCGGCGTCGGGGGTCTGGGTTTGCGGGAGCCGTTGATCTTCCGTCACCGAGCGCGTTCTAATACTCGCAACTCGCAAACGTCAGAGCAAATGTGCCTTCGTCGTCGTAATGTATCGTTAGTCCCCCGCGGCGGATCCAGACCATTTGCGAGTAGCTACTTCGCGAGTAGCGGAACGCGCTTGTCGATTACAGCCGGACCGTCGTGTAAGATCGCAGTCGGCCTGGGGAGGGTAATTTTTCTAAGGTTCTTCGTGTTTATTCGTCTGTCCTTGGGTGTGCAAGCAAACGGGGAGTGACGCGTGTGCCGACGAATTTCGGTTGTCAATGTTTCCATCTGGTGTTCTCTCCCCAAAGCAAGTGAGATCGAAGGTGTACGTGGAAAACGTGGCTGCCGCTGCTGACGGATCCCGCCTTGAATTTGTTTCTGAGGCAGGCCGCCCGTGTTTTTGTGAGCCCTCCTCCCCTTTCAAGCCCCAGCCTGCGCCGAAGCTCGCGTGCGCTGAGTGCTGGAGCCCCCGCTTTCTGCTCACTCAAGGTCAGGTTTGCTGGCGTAAGCTTTGTCCTGAGCATGCGCCTGTCACTCTGCAGTGTGATGTTGAGGTTATTCGTGCTTGCCCGTCCCAGGGCCCCAGTCCTGGGCGTAGGCCTGGCTGAGGACTGTGTTTGGAGGGTGGCTCGCCAGCCATCGGGTTTTGAATCCGAGGGGACGGTTAACTGTATCTTCGGTTATATTTGCGCCCTCGTTTGAAACATTAGCTATTTTTCCCCGGGTTCGCTTGCTGCTCTCCCTCCACTTCCGCCCTCTGTGTCTGGACCCCCAGTGAACGTTTTGGGATTCCTGACCAGTGCGACGTCCCCATTTCGTAAAAGCTTTGCCTTGCACGCCACGTCACCATCTCCGTCTCCCTCCTCCCAGGGTCCCTTCTCCAATTTATAATTCCGCGACGTTGCATGAGCAGCCGCCCGAGATTGGCGTATTCCTGCGCAGGCGCGCGTTGCGGGGTAGGGTGGACGTCGTCGTCGTCGTCGTCGTCGTTGTCGTCGTCGTCGTCGTCGTCGTCGTCGTCGTCGTCGTCGTCGTCGTCGTCGTCGTGCGCTTGCCTCCTCTTCCTTCCCCTGCGCATCCTTATCCTCGTCCGCTGCCCCCTCTTGCTCCCCCTCCTCCTCCTCCTCCTCCTCCTCCTCCTCCTCCTCCTCCTCCTCCTCCCCCTCCTCCTCCTCCTCCTCCTCCTCCTCCTCCTCCTCCTCCTCCTCCTCCCCCTCCTCCTCCTCCTCCTCCTCCTCCTCCTCCTCCTCCTCCTCCTCCTCCTCCTCCTCCTCCTCCTCTGGGCCGCATCTGGAGGGCCCGTCACGGGGGCACTGGCTCGGCGGTTTGAGTTAAGGCCGACACCAGGGGCCGAGCTGATTGCCGTCCTGGCGTTCGGTACACCTGGGGTAGCTCAGTTGAGTCGTCCTGGCGTCGCCTTGTGTGTTTGGCGTGCGTGTGCGTGTGCGCGTCTGCTCGTGCGTCAGGCACCCCAGTTGTGGGGGAAGGTGCGCAGAACGAGTGCTGTTTTCTCGACTCGGGCCTGGCACGGGGGGGCCCTAGTGCCTCGACCGTTGCCTTGCCTTGGTTCCTGGGTTCTGTCGTCCTGGACTCGGTGCACCAGTGACGGGTGCTGTATCGTTGGTGCCTTGTGCGTGTGTTGTTCGCACGTGTATCAGGCACCCAATTTGTGGGGGAAGGCGCGCTGCGCGCGTGGGAGGTTCCTCGTTTTCACGGGGGCGAAGGTTGTCCCCATACCTTCTCCCTTTTTTCCCCGCTAGGGGTATGTATCCCTGGAGCACGGCCCTGGCCCTCGGGGGCCCTCGTGACAGTTGCCCAGGCGGACTCAGTGGGAATTTCTCCCACCCCCCTTTCGCTCAGTGCGGAGGGGGAAGCCTCCCTGGGCGCAACGACGCTTTGGGTGGATTTTTCGCCAACGAGCGACCTCTGAGGGTCTCGCCACCCCTCATGTATCGTGGCTGCTGGGTGAATGTTAAAAGAATCCTCCTCCTCCTCCTCCTCCTCCTCCTCCTCCTCCTCCTCCTCCTCCTCCTCCCCCTCCTCCGCCTCCTCCGCCTCCCCCTCCTCTCCTCCTCGTTCATCCTCCCCTTCGGGGTGGGATGGTCGGCGGTCGCGCGTGTGTGGCGTTTGGACAGACCGCGGGGAAGGGCCAGATCCGTCCTTTCCCTTTTCGACGAGAAGGGCTCGATGAAGAAGGGTGGAACCACCCAAGGGGGGATGAGGGGGAAACGGGGAAGGGAGCGACGATGCGGAGGAGGATCCTGGGAGGACGAGGAGGACGAGGGGGAGGACGAGGAAGAGGATGGCGAGGAGGAGAATTGACGGAGGACGCGAAGGATGGGAATTGGGAAGAGGGAGTACGAGGAGATGGAGGAAAAAGAGGAAGAGGAGGCGAAAGACGGCCACGACGACGACGACGACGGGAGATGAGGTCAATGTTCGGGGATACGGATTTCCAAGGGGAGGAGGGAAAGGGGGATGAGGAAGAGGGATGAGGAGGAGGAGGAGGAGCAGGAGGAGGAGGGATGACGAGGAGGACGAGTACGAGGAGGTGGGAGGAGGAGTGGCGAGGAGGAGGAGGAGGAGGAGGAGGAGGACGACGACGACGAGGGAGGCTGGGAGCGGGGGCGGGGACGAGAATTTCGAGGAGGACGATGGAGCGCGATGAGGGAGGAGGAGGAGGAGGAGCAGGAGCAGGAGGAGGAGGAGGAGCAGGAGGAGAAACAGGATGATGATCACGGGTGAGTTGGACTTGGAGGGATGGCGGCGATGACGACGATGGAGTGGGACGGGGAGGGAAGGTGACGAGGGCCAGGAGGAGGAAGAGGAGGAGGAGGAGAAGGAGGAGTGGAAAGGAGGAGGATGAGGAAGAGAAGAAGGTGGAGGAAGCTGATGATGAGGAGGGTGGCCGACGACGTGACGGTGGAGGGGGGGAGGGGGCGAGCCACTTCCTCCCTCACCCCCCGGCGGACCATGAGATCCTACGCTGCGACAGAAGTCCAACCTCGCGCACGATCACAACCAGAGGCATTGACCCCATCTGTCTGCCCTATGTTTCGAGCCTGGTCGATCTGTGATGGCGGGGCCCGAAGCCGGGCGAGAGCGCCTGGAGTAACAAAAGTTCCGGCGCCAGGGTCTCGGGGTGACTTCTTCCCCCGCCCCTTGCACCCCTCACGGGCAACGACAGTGGGGATAGGCACGGGGGGGGATGCATCGATCCCCAATCGTCCACTCATCGCCGATATGGGGCCCGATAGCCCCACCCCGCCCAGGACTATCGCCGATCAATCAGCGATGTATCGCCAGTACCGTGGCGACGTTGCCCCCGTTGTGCAAGTCCCCCCTATCGTTGCCCCTCCTCTCCCCCCTGCACCCCTCTCGCGCTGGGCGCCTCCTCGGCGCGCTCGCATCCAAGCTCGCAGACCTCCTCGTTTTCCGCCGTCCTCCTCGTCCTCCTCGTCCTCGTCCTCGTCCTCGTCCTCGTCCTCGTCCTCGTCCTCGTCCTCGTCCTCCTCGTCGTCCTCGTCCTCGTCCTCCTCGTCGTCCTCCTCCTCCTCGTCGTCGTCTTCGTCGTCTTCTCGGGGTGCACCCCCCGCGCGCCCCCCCGGGGCCATGGGGGCGAGCATGCCGCCGTGCCGGGGGAGCATCGCCGCGGCCTCGGCCAGGCACGGGGGTGGGCGGCCGCCAAGGGGGGCGCGGCGGTGGGCTTCGGTCGGGGCTCAGGAGACGGGGGTCAGTCAGAGCGCCGCATCTTGCAGGATCCTGCAGTTGCCCAGCCGCATTCGTCATCTGCAGTGGTCCGCTCCCTTCTCCCTCAACAAAACAATCTTGCAGGATCCTGCAGCACCAGACCCCCTCGCGTTGTGAGCAAAATCACGACTGGAGGCTTTTCGCTATTTTCGGCCCCGAGTGGCGCTACCTGACCCGGGACTACCGAAAAACGGCTCAGGATGAAAAACCGGTCCGGTGAAGGGGTCCGGACCTTTGGGGTCGACGTTGCGAACAAAAAACAAGACCCAGGGTTGCATTGACACGGGTGAGGGCGCAGGATCTTGCAGGATCTTACAGGATCCTGCAAGGAGGAGTATTCGAGAATGGTCAAACAATAGTCTGATGAAGATATTTCGTATTATTTGAGGTATTCTTGAATATTCTATACCTGTATAAACCTCTTGTTCCCCAAATCTGCATCTAGGAGGACATGTTTGACCTAGTACAAGGCCTGAGTGACTCGGGTTTGGCTTGGCCCGGGTCAGTAGGTCCCCGACTCGGTGCCCCCCTATTCCTTTCCAAGAGGAGGAGGGAGGGGAGGCTCCTCGCCTCCCTTTCCTCCTCCTCTCTGGGCCTCCCAGAGGGTGGGTCTGAGTAGATGGGGCCGGAAAATCGCGCGTCGCATCGCCGATGTATCGGCGATGCGGCCTCGATTTCTCCACGCCGACGTCGCCGACACGCATCGGCGACGTCACTGGTGCATCGCCGATGCATTGGCGATGCATCGGCTAAGCGGCGCGATTCTCCGACCACATCTACTCCGACCTCATCTGGGTGGCCTCTATCCTCCTCCTCGCCTCCCTTCCTCTTCCGCTCTGCCCCTTCCTCCTGTTTCACACTGCCTCGGCGGCACGTTTCGAGAAGCAGCCGCAGGGGCATCCTGCTTGCTTCGCGCTGCCGTTGCGGGCAGGATACCTTTTTCACTGTCATTACCATGTGCCAGCTGAGACGTGACAACACATGGTGGGGGCAGCGGTGGTTCGTTTTCAGGTGAAACGACAGCAAGAAGGAGAAGGTAGGGAGAGAGGGAGGGAGGGGGGGTGCAGTGAAGACCCCAGTACTACTAGCAGGTACTTTCCTTACAGACCCTGTTTCTTCCTTTGCGGCTAAGGCTAAAGCGGTCGAAGCAGTGAGGGCTCTGACTCATGCTACGATCCACCATGATCTCCGACGATCTGATTATTTAAATTTGGGCGGATTTCTCCGAGTTCGGCCTCTGCGGCCCGCTATCAGGCCCGGGGACCATCAAGAACGGATCTAGGGCGTAAGACCACCCCTGGTGAAGGGGTCGGGCCCTCCTGGGCCGCGGATTGAAAATGCATAACTGGGGATGTCAGGGGAACGGGAGGGGAGGGAGGACGGTGGGGAACGAGGATGGGAGGGAGGGAGGGAGGGAGGGAGAGGGGAGGAGGAAGGAAGGGATGTGGGCATCGGAATTGGAATCGGAAGAGTTTCCAGCAGCATCCGCCCCCAGAAGATTGCGTCAGACTTTTAGGCCTCAAGCCTTTGATGAACCGATCGGGGTATTGCTGCCTGTTGCGGCTGATATAGTCGGACTTGCAGTCCTGACTTAAGAAAAGTAGCTGATCTTGTCCACAGCATCCACAGATCCTCCAGATCCAATCGCTGGTATAATATGAGAACACGACAGAGTGAATGGAGGGAGGGGGAGGAGGAAGACGAGGGGGAGATGGGCCAGCACTCAGAACGGACGAGCTCGATGTCTGTGGAGCCTGTCGCCCTAATCATGCGGGTGGGCTTGTCTCCTGCAACGCTCTCACGACATGGAGGAGGGGCAGGGCAGCTTTCAAAACCAGAGCGGTGCCTGCGGCTCCTTTGGACTGTAGTCCTTCGAACGCACGTCTACGTTCGAGGGCCCTACCGCTGTCAGGGCACACCCTGGGACAATTCTTCTGACAGCCCCTGGAAGCCGACTCGCTGAAGGAGCCGCAGGCGCGGCATACAATTATTCACGAGGGACCGGTCCCGCCAGCATATCCAACACGCACACACAGGTTGAGGGCTCTGTTTGGTGATTGGTCGGGGGACACATTGTGATTCGATTCGGGTCGTTATGCGGTCGAGTATTCGTGCGAGCGCTGGTTCGCACCGCAGACAAATCGAACGGGGCCCTCGCCATTTTAGGCCCGCCTCTCTCCTGCGGCAAGGCCGCGAGGTCATGTTTCTTCCAGACGCCCCCACATCCCAAGCCTGGAGTGGAGTGGACTGGGGGGGCGAGGGTGGGAGTCGGAGCGCTCTGAGAGGGCCGCGGCTCCCGATGCAGCTCCCAGAACCGCCAGCCCCCCCACACGCACCCCACACCTGGAGTGGAGTGGAGGCTGGAGGAGCAGGAGCAGGAGCAGACGGAGGTTGTCGGGGATAGGCCTCACTCAGGAGGGGAAAAATCACACAGACACCATCAATCGTCGCTCTTCAGGAAAGATACGGGAAACTACGGGAAGTGGAGGGGGAAGACGAAATTCCAGAAAATGCGAGAAGGTATGGGGAGTCCTGGGAGTTGTCTATTTATGTGTGTGTCCCAGGACCCTTTCACTCAAGCCGAGTTGGTTTCACGTGGGCGCATCCGCGAGACGGCCCACCGAGGCGGCGGCGACGAGCCAGACGGCCCCCCGAAAGGTCAGTTGCCCAGGCAGTGGCCCCCGAGGAAGGAGGCCACAGCCAAGCAGCCCGCCACCCCGCGGGGGCGCGAGCCCCAGCAGTCGCCAGCACGAGAAAGAGGAGGGCGAGCGGACCGAAGGGGCCATCCGTTATGCTTGAGAGGGTACGGAGAACACTGGCATGGCCCCTGCGCATGGATGACACGCACAGATCGAGGCGTGTATACAATCGTTCTCTCTGGTACGCTCGAGGAGGAGGAGGAGGAGGAGGAGGAGGAGGAGGAGGAGCAGGAGAAGGAGGAGGAGGAGGAGGAGCAGGGGGAGGAGGCAAATGCAAAGGCGCATAGGGGACGTCCCGCAATCTCCTACTGCAGAAACTCTACATCCCAGAGGTCTATATGGAAGCGGGGTGGGGGCAACACCCCCCAGGACCGCTTGGGGCGCCGCCTGGCCCACTCAGAGACCGTGGGGCAGGCGTACCCCGCCGCAGGAGGGCTTTTTCGAGAATGCAGCCTTCAGTAGGAAGGGCGCTGCTGGCCTCTGTTGAGGCGGAGCAACACCCTCAAGAGAGGGGGGGGGCACTGCACTACGTACCAACCAGAGGGAGGGGCGAAGACAGGCGGGAGCGCCGCGCCTTGGCGTGCGTGCTGGCCACGCACTCAGCCAGGCCGCCTGCGTCTTCCTGAGACTTTTTCTGAAAGGGGGGGGGAAGAGAGAGAGAGAGAGAGAGAGCGACAGAGAGAGAGAGGGAGGGAGGGAGGGAGGGAGACACACGCCACCCCACACACACCACACGACACGAGAGAGTTTAGGGCCTCAACTGTATAGGGGGGGCATCGAGAAAACGCCTTCAGGATCTAGTTCTACAATCATCACATCAGGTGGGGCCCTTCGTATTCTGCCCCATCGTACCCGTGTGTAGCACACCCCAGTCCCCCCACACAGGACCTGCTCGTATCTGTACCAATATCCTTTACAGTAATACATAATATCGTAGCTGGGGTCGGAGTTGTTACTTGTGGGTTGGGTTTGTCCTTCTTCTTGCCTTTTGCCCGAGCAGTCGGGCCTGCCTTCATCCTCGGGTAGAAGGCAGTTCCTTTGTCTCTTGGCTGGTCCTGTGGGGCTCTGCTGGTCTCTGGGGCCTCGTCTGCACTGCGGGCCTGCTGTCTACACCACCTCCGCGCTGCTGGAGGCCACCGTCTTCTGGAGCTTCTCTGTGTGCTTATCTATCTTCTTCTGCATTTCCGCGATTGTGTTCTCCACCCCATCCTCTGTCGGTACCTTCTTGCCGCCCTCGGTAGTATGCGTCTTCGTCGTGTGCTCCTGGCTGTCGTCTTTCCTCTTGTTGTTGGCGATCTGGTCGTTGTCGATCCAAAGCTCGGGCCTCTTCACTTTCCAGCCGTACGGGATCCATGTCTCCTCATCCTCTGGGTCCCACCAGGGCAACTGCTGCTTGGGCTTCTTCTCGCAGCTCGCGTCGCTCTTCTCATTCGACGTCGGTGCGTCCACTTGCATGCCATCGTAGCTTTTGTCACTTGGCGGCTCTGCGTCGGCTCCCACTGGCCTTGTCGTAAGCAGGCCCTTCACCCTCAGCATCTCAGCGATGCACAAGGACAGGCTGCCCATCTGGTCCGAGAGATACATCAGGTCCTCCTCCTTCGCAAGCTTCTCTTGGTCCGTCTTGACCTGCAGCGCCCTGCACCTGCTGAGGCTGAGCATGATCTTGTGCTAGTGGTCCATCAACTTGATGATGCCCGTGTCTATGTCGATCGCCGTCGAAGCCATCACTGTGCCCGTCCGCTTGATGTTCGCCTCCGCGCTCCTTAGGACCTACTCATCCTCTCCGATCTTGTCGCTGTTGCACCTGACCTGGCCGACGACCTCCATTCTGCGCTTGCCACGCCGAGGTGCCCGCTCCGCCCTTGCACTTGAGGCCCGATGCGCTCGCTGTACGGTCCCCCTGTCGGCGCGCCCTAGCCGGTACCCCGCAATGACCCACCCCGTTTCCACTGAACCATCTCCGTCGTGTTGGCAGCTTCTTCTGGTAGTGTTTTTTCTTTGTCTGGTGGGGGCAGTCGGGTCTGTCTTGGGCCTTTTGAGAGGCTGTAGGGGTCTGAGGCCCTTCGGATGAGGAGGCGGAGGGCGAGCGTGCTCAGGAGGCGGAGCAGGAGGAGCCGAGGGAACTCAGGAGGCCACGGAGGCCACGGAGGCCATCCATGGGGCATCTCAGGCCGTCCTGGGCGGGCGCGATGTGGCGCTCTCGGGGGCCCCGCCCG